CCCCCCCCCCCCCCCACCTCAATGTAGGTGGTCACCGGCCCCAGCACAATAAAAACTGCTTCCCAGGCCCTCTTAGGGGTTTTAACTCTTAAAAATGCTAGTTTCTAATAATATTTTACAATGGAAAAAACCAGCAAGAAAAACCCACAGAGCACAATCAAGGATGGACCTCCATGATGAACATAATTTCCACTGTGTAACACTTCTTCCTAGAGGCAGTGAATTTATGGCACACTGTGTTATCAGCAGAATCGTGCAACCTAGTGATGTACTGATCGAACCATTTAGTTTTTCAATACATAAAGTTAGTTGCAAATAATAATTTATTAATGCAGTGATAACCCAGTACTCTATGATCTACAGACACCCACTTAATTGGACACCCATATATAACAGGCAGTTTTGTTTGTCCTGAGGAAAAGCATACATTTTTTCTTTAAAATTAACCGGCTTAGTACGCACAGTAGTTAGCACAGTAGTTAATGTGGACAACAACCACTTTTCTGTGTTTCAAGTCAGAAATTCCTATATATTCTTAATCCAGCTTCACAGACACTGGTTATCCAGGCACTTTCTATTTTTCTTGTCACAATGATGTGCCAATTGTAGACATTGTACCAAGTTCACGGGTTAATAAGATTTTATTACCAAAACATCTGCAGCCAAATAGCATGACACATTTGATTTTGATACATCTTTCTTTCTTCCCCTGTTTGTAGTCCTTTGATAAATTTTCAGCCTACTACTCAACAAGTTTCACGTCCTTGGCTTTTTGCTACAGTCATTGTTCCTACCCTTCTTCCTCCTTGTTCCTTTATGCTATATATCAAATAAGTCACGTGTCTGTGACTTTTTTCCAGAGAGCTAACTTAATATGGACACCCGGATAATACGGACACCCAGATAATATAGACATCATAACATGTCTGTATTAACCTTTCCAGTATATATTTTCTTGTCTAGCCAAAGCTTCAAAGCTGGTCCCAGTAAAGAGAGCATCCAGAAAATGCACACCTGGGTTTGAATAATAAATAAATTAAAAAAAAAACGTCACATACAACAATTTCATAAAGTTATCTATAAAAGTTATGGGAATACAAGGGGATATCATTGACAATAGTTGGATGAGGTGAAATCTCTGCATTTTTATTAGCGTTGCAATTTATAAGTTGCAATAATGATCTGCAGTCAATCGATAGGGAAGGCATAGGCAGACACAGCCTTTTCAAAAAAACATGAGCTACAAAGAATGTGACAGTCTTTAATGTCAGCACTGAAAATTATTAAATTTATATACCAAATCAAGAGCGAGCGATCCCCTTATTTATCTATTTATATTGAAAATGCAGCGGGGAGAGAGAAAAATTTTTCTCTCTCCCCGCCGCGTGTCGCCTTTTCTTGCGTGGGGTGATTTTCACGCGCGCTCTCGCTTCGCTCGCTCTACTATCCCTGAGGAAAAATGGGGGACTACTCGTAGTCTAGAGTAACAGCGACAACAAGGCGCCTATTTTTAGTTCACGTCTTTCAGAAGTGGTCTCTTACGAGAAGAAGTCGCACATGGGGGTTCGACGTATTAAATTTGACGCCTACCTCCAAGCTAATAAGTTGTTATGAAGACTGCTTGAGAATTTTGCTGTTGTTTTATCGCGAGATTCTTCTTGCCAACGATAAAAAGTTGAGCTCGATTTTTACGGAGTTGTAGACTGGTCGGGTTGACTGTGTCTACCGAACTTTAAGAATAGGGTCTGGAAAGAGGTAGTCTAAAATGTCATGCGCTGGCCAACACCTAACCCGTGGGGGGCGCAGGGGAGAGAGACGACGTCTCTCTCTCCCCCGCGCCCCCAGGGTTAGTTGGTGGAGACGTATGACATTTCAGATTAGGAAAGGGGGGTCGTAGGCCCGAATTTCCGCACCTTTTTTACGAGAATCCCGCATCCGGAACTTCTATCAACGCCTCCAGAATATCCTTTTCTTTCCCTATCTCGCTTCTGTCCCTAAATTTTGGCGAATCCCGCTTCCCGGTTAGCACTGAGTTAAACCCCGTATCCCGTTAACATTTCCCGAATCCCGCACTATAAGAAAGCTTCTCGATCAACTGCACGTCATAAGGCAGGTGGACCGATAAACAAGCTGAGGAAATAAAGTTGACAAATAAAGTTTTTGTTGGGTGAATAAATCTCCACAAAGTGGTCGCACAGTTTTTGGTAACACACACTGCATCAGTCAAATCAGTGTTATGTGGCTCAAGATCTCATCTCCAAATTAAAGGATTAAATTGTTGCCAGTCGTATTTTTCTCTTTTGTTTAGAAATCTAACCCCATTGTTGAGAAGAGAATTAATCTAAAAAATCGATAGACTATGTACATTAATATATACATTATTCAAACAATCTTATTTTTTGTTATGTTAATTTTCTTAAAAAACCCCAGCAACCGAAAGAGCCAAGAAAAACTTCGATGACCCTATTGCTTAATGAAACGAAAGATGCAATAATTATAGTTTTTCTGTTTCTTGCGAGCTTTAGGGTTTCTTATAAACTGCAAAAAGGTGTGCTCTGATTTGAAACATTATTCTTGACAAAAATTCTTCAAGACGGCATTGGATTACATGCAAGAAGATGAAGATGTATTGACTGGGACTTCGCCGTGGCCGGCCTATGATTCGTGCAACGTCAGTATGATGTTGATTTTAAAACGAAAGTCTCAGGCGGAGAAGATACCTAAAGTATCACAAGAAAAGAAAGTTGAACTAATTCCATTTTCCCCCGCGTTTCACTAAAAATTTTCTCTTCGTTGCATTTCAAGATGGGAAGAATTCTGAAAGGTGGCTACTGGAGAGTAAACAAGGAGCAACTCAAAAGATGGCTGCCAACAGCTTATTATTATTTTTTCTACGGAGCACTGGGTTCTCTATTCCCTTTTCTAAACTTGTATTACCGGGCGATTGGAATGGATCCATGGCAAATTGGAATTCTAGGGGGAATTCGCCCATTGATAGCGTTACTTTTTGCCCCGATATGGAGTTATTTGGCCAACAAGTATAAAATCCGAAAAGCTATACTTGTCTGGTCGCTCATCAGCTGGGTTGCTTTTACTATTCCAATTGCGTTGGTGCCGCATCTTAGTGCTAGTGAACAATGCGTGGAAGAGGCAAATTCCACGAGGCTAAGCCTCAACTCAAGTGAGGATTCCAACATGGTTCATTTCAAAAGGATAAAAACCTATACGCTTTTAAATATTTCACTCATGAATGGCCTTTCGAGTTTGTACCAGGGACACCAGGATAAAATCAAAGGTCACAGTTTGCGTGAAAATAGAAAACGGAATAAACCGCCCTTTGTCAAAAGAGGTGCAGAGGAAACTAGGATAAACAATGGCCTGTATTATGAACACGGATCTTTAAAACAGACAATTGGCGATAGCTTTCGGATGTCAAACGGGATTAAACTGGAGGTCTCGACAGACAGTAAAGAAGCTGAGAAACGCAAGCCTTTTGATTTCAAATCCCCAAATGGGCCATACCTCAACAAAAGAAGAAATCCGTATTCGGACACAATTTTTACCGAACTGCTTTTTATTGCTTTCACAGGGGAGATTTTTCAGTCCGCAACAGATGACCTCAACACACATTTTGATGGAACGTTTCTAGAGCATTTGGGTGTTATGTACCAAAATGTGATCGACAACAACATTTACAGCTCGATCGGTATTGGAATTGCAGCATTTGCCACTGGTTTGATTCTTCGCTTTGCACCAAAAATAACAATCTGTGATGTTGAGTACGCTGAATACAAAATCGCCTTTATAATATTTTCATTACTTATGGCGGTTGCTGTGTTGATCTCGACAAAATTTGACCTCAGTTATAGAAGGCGTCGCCGCAGCTTTGAAATTAAAGAATCGCTGCAGAAGCTGATTTCTGTCAGCAATGTGACTTTTCTGTATATCGTGGTAATCATGGGGATTCTCCGAGGGGTTTTGTTCAACTTTGTCTACTGGAATATCGCGGATATCGGAGGCTCTGATCTCGTCGTGGGTTTCACAGTTGTGAGTCAGTATCTCTCTGACACTATCATGTCTCTCTCAGCTCCTATTCTTATGACATACTTGGGTTATATCGGTATGATATACATTGGTCTTGCTTCATATGCCCTTCGATTCATAATCTACTCCTGGTTAAGCACCCCAGATTCCGCATGGGTTACCCCACCGGTCGAATTACTGCAGGGTATCTCCCACTCTACAGCTTGGTCAGCCTTCCTATTGTACATCACCAACTATACTCCCGCATCCTCCTTTCCCACGGGTATTTTTCTTCTGCAGGGGTTGTATCTCGGGGTAGGAGGTAGCATCGGAGGGTTTGTCGGAGGGATTTTAATTCAAACATTTGATACAAACGTTGCATTTCGCCTGTTCGGCCTTGTGAGTGTTTTGACCTGCCTGGTGTTTATAATGATCCAACCTTCCGGAGGAGACGAGATCCTCCCGTCTCAGGCAAACACCATTTTATTTCTCACGGATGAGGATGATTATTCCAGCTACAGCGAAGATGAAATTTTCGATTACAACCAACATGGAGTTGTCTACGTTCCCTCGAAAAGCGCAAGCGAAGGAATGCTGCAAACAAAGAAGATAGTTCTTCCAGCGCATAATTCACCCCTAGTTCCCATCTGTCTTTCTCTCGGCAAAAAACAACTAAAAGAAACTAAGTGATGGTCAAGTAATTTTGGAAACTAATCCCATTGAGCTTAAAAACCGCGTGTTTTCCCCTCTACTCTCATGGGATTCATTTACTTTTGCCAGTGAAAATATAATCAAGGATAGTTTTGTCCTTTAATACTACGCACCAGAAACGAAGTTGATCAAGGCAAGCAACGTTCACACGGCCCTGGACAATTTTTCAATTTTTGGCTACATCACCTGAGCTGATGTATTTGGCTCCATAAGCAGGGAGGACATAAATCTTGGGGGTTAATGTTGTAAGAAAAAAATACCTAAAATTTGTTCTGGTGGTCAATATAAGAATATTTGGGTGCGCCAATCTATACTCCGTGTTCTTGTATAGTGTGTTTCAAAGTGTATTAAAAGTATCGAGATTACCCTCTGAGACATAGGTATATTTGTTGCAGCCGCCTTTTCTTTTAGATCAGTCGAGTTCTTGATAGACGGTCAAAGCGTAGGGATAGAAAACTCTTTTAGCCGAAAAGGGACTGGGTCGAGACGAGAAAATTATTTCTCTCCCCCCAACCCCGCTCCCCCGCGCCCTTCACCGCTAGGGCTTACGCCTCGCCCTCGTTTCCAGCGGCTCTCAGCTTCGTCGCCCGCCGCCCTCGCGCTAAGCCATTGCGCTCGCAGTCTAATACAGAGCAGTTCTGTGATTACTGCACAGTCATTTAAAAGAAACCACTCCATACGGAATATTGGATGTAGAGCTTGAGTACGCGAGAGATCTAGAACAAATATAAATCATAACATCAATGCAATAGCAAAGTATTATAATTTTGCTGGTGCCATACACAGTAGCGGCTTAGTAACAAAAAAAGCTGCCACTTGCTTGCTATCGTTATTTTCATCTATTTATGATTGCCTTTTAGACGCTTGTCTCCTCAGAGACTTTTCTAATTATCATTATTGTTGTTTTTAAACTTTAGTCTACGGATGCTGCACAACTATTACTACCCTTTAAACAAACCAACCTTCCTGGTTTATGTCGATTAAGATACGATTTTTTTTTTTGCCGGCAACAAATGCAAGGGCCTTCAGTTTCAGTTTGATCTGACTCTTGAATGTACGCCACAAAAGATAGGTACCTCTTTTCGGCGTCAGGTATATGAAAGGGTAGGAATCTCATTAGTTGAAGTATGTGAAAGCGTAGGGAAATCTGTCGTTTCGGTCTTCAAAAAACCATAAAAGGGGTTACCATTTGTCAATAGCGGGTATACGAACTATACGACATCAGGGGCTCGACCCCGAGTCGGAGGTCCGGCATAAAACTTCGTTGAGTGCACCTCCGGGCATTTCGATCCATAGTTGCACCTGGAAACAAGAAACAGTAAACTTCAAGACGTCGTAGACACAATTTGACAGTAGTGCGAGATATCTGATAATATCAGAATTTCTATAACCAAGTAGAGTAAACGGAACTGCCAGATGTAATTTCATTATAACTTGGACCATCACATCTTTCTTCTCGTCTGCTTTGTTCGGTTATTGACAGGCATCGGTTGCTTGGTAAGGTTTCAGTAGAAGTTGCAGGGCTTCGAGAATCTTCGGAAAGTGTCGCTAATGACTCGCAATGGCTTAGGATTAATTCGTCAGTTTGCACTCCTAAACGCCGTGTGGTTACGGTACCATTTCTGCGTTGGAGAAGTTTTAGAGTGGATCGGCTTAATCGCATAGAGAAGCCTTGTGAACTGCGCTTCTTACCTTTTCCAGGCGAATTGTCGTGTTTTGACATGCTAACAATCTTTTCCTTTCGAAATACTACACTGTATAATTTAGGTAAATAAACCGGAAAGAATATGGCAGAAGCAGCCAATGGCTGACTCAAAATAACGGCTCGTCCTCGAATCAGGTTCTGGTCGCCCATAGTGCAGACGATGGACAGAACAATAAGATGAATAGTAGCAGCTAAGTAAATTGCCAAGGCCAAGCCTTTGGTTTCTCTAAACTGCTTGGGAAGTTTGCGAGTTTTGAACGTATAGACAGCACACAACGCAAGTAGACTCAAGTAAAACGAATTTGTTATTGCCACGTTCAGTCGCGTGATGTTACACTGCACAACAACTTCATCTGGTAGGTAGATTTTTGACACATTCTGTTGGTATCTGAAAAAAGACGAAAACTCACATTTAAGCTAATTGCAACGTTCACGGCTGCGTGTGATTGATGCCGAATTCAAGTTGTAACCACTCTACTAAAACTGTAATTTGTTTTCAAGCTTTCCTTTTCGCAATTGCAAAAGTCGCATCTAGAACTGCGATGATCGTCTTTCATTTAATTTAACACTTATTTGTGTTGCTTGTTGCGATCTCAAAGCCACAGACGTCTACATAATGTTTTTGCCGTTCGAGACACCTTCACTTTTCGTGCGCTTTTACTTTTACAAATACCCGGAAGTATTTGTCATTACTTACCTAAGGAATCCCCACACCGTAGAATAAGTCAGAGTAAAGCCTACAATGAAACTTATTATGGCCAAGTGCGAGCGAGTGCTGACAAATGTAGGATTCATAGTCTCACGGAGAGTAGAGTTGAACAGGCGATTTACCCTCAGAGTTTTAGAGAACATAACCGCGTAACACATCACGTGACCCAGACGGGTGTAGCCCCTCAGGCTACACACCAGGTTATCTATATGAAGGGAAAAATAAGAAAATGGCTTAGCTTTTGAGATTTCGCTGTTCAAAGACTTCCTGCATTAGAATAAGTAGTAATTTTAATTTTTATCATAAGCTTTACTAATCGATTTCGTAGAATATCTTAATGATCATGTGATCTCTTAGTTTCTAGCAACCATGTTGGTGCCTTTCGGAGGAAAAACATATCATGGCGTTTCCAAAAATTAAAAAAACCTCTGTAATAGCCTGCGTAGCAGGCGCCAGTTATTTATTTTATTTTACAGGCCACGCGAGGGGAACACGCGAAGGGGGATGGAGGCCTCCCTCTCAGTTTTCTACCCTCGCGCATCCTCGAGATTATCTTCCTTCGCCATAAAAAAAACCGGCGCCTGCTACGCAGGCTAGCTCTGTAAATTTAGGCAAAACATTTCTCCTAATATGTCACGTGAAAAAAACACTCAGACCAGTGGATCTTGGCGAGCCGAGATTTTTTTGCATATTTAAGTTATTTAATTTTGTCTTTTTTGGTTGGAAAGTTTCGATTTTTGTGTCTGATTGCGTGATAGAGAAAACAAGCAAAATAATCAGTATCATGTCAAGTACTGTTACTGTGAAACTCACAAAACCGTGAACACCAGAAATATTTATGGAATGTTATTGCGTTGCGAGGAATTAGCCAATAAGGCACGAGGTACATAACACGCAAACAGCAACGGTAACGACCTGCTCTCAGTTGGCTTGTTAGCTTAACTGGTAGAGCGCTGCACCGGTATCGCAGAGGTCAAGGGTTTGAATCCCGTATAGGCCTGAATTGTTTTCAGGCTTTCTTTTCGCAACTGCAAAAGCTGCTTATATAACTGCGATGATCATACTTCTTTTAATTCTTCACTCCGCACGTCACATATATGATTCTCGTATATTCATAACTTCAGCAACAGTAATTAGATTGCGGTTTTGAGGTTTGCTTGCGTATCCTGAACTTTGCTATAATTGGCCAGTACACAATCTACACAATCAACATTCCTGAAATTTTCCAGGTGTTCACGGTTTTCGGAGTTTGACAGTAATTACAACTTAGTATATGGTGTTTGATATCTTACCTGGTGTTATTAGATTCAAAAAACTCTCTCCATAAGTTATCATTATCCCAACCAGAAGCAAACAGCTCAGTCCGCAGCTAGATGCCTTGATGAGTGGATGGGCCCGCCATCTTATAAACATAACAAGCGTCAACAATGCACATGCAAGTCCAGTACTTGAGAAAGAAATAGTAAACAGAATGAAACCAGACGATGGATCCACGCTAACAACTGGCTGCTTTAAACACTTGGTTTTGTTAACATCTGGCTAAAACAAGGAGAAACAAACGCAAGTTAATGAATTTAGTTGTTCTCAGTAAACCTGGCTTCTGCACCGAATCCAAAGTAGCGCTCGTCATAGCCGCCATATTGGAGACGTCATGGTGCCCCAGCATCCTTGCCGCCTCCACGCCACTGAGGTGGGGGCAGCTGATCAGAAAACTGAAAGGAGACTGAAAGGAGCAAGTTAGAAGTAGTAGCTCGTTAATTCCGCCCATCTCTATATCGTAAGATGGTCAATCAAAAAGATTCTCCAGTCTATACATGAGACTGCAAGCAGGCTTAAGTTTCTGAAGAGGAGGGGATGAACCTGCAATCCTACTCTCCGGGCTGGTATAACACATGCGCGTCACGTATGTATCCAGCATTCGTTTGGACTTCCACGACAAATGCTAAGAACGAAATCTGATCAGGGACCTTCTATCACTCTTAATCTGGTAACGCGCGTTTTGACATTCTATCACGTGAAATGCACGCAGAGCACAGCGTTGGGGCAATCGCGTTTGTGTCGATCTCTCCCCCACTCGCTTCTGAACTTTTGGTTATTGCTAGTCTTATGATACTTTGGAAAACTTACTTTAAAACCTTTTTTGCATGGCAAGCATTCCATTTGTTCTTTAGTGGTTATCTCATTGTTGTTGCACAAGTTGCATATCCAACAGCAGGCCCTGGTAACCGGTATTTTAATTTCTCCAGGTTTGCAGGGCTGACTACATGAAGTACGGGGCAAGATGTCCATGTCCTTACACAGCGTCACCATGGAAGAACCCGACCGGTTTTTTTCACTCCAGCGCCCTAATAAGGTAAGGCCCCATCTACCGTGTTCATCTTTGAGTGGTTTCAAAAAGTCATACTCTGCAGAAATGTCGCCGTTTTTATCAAATTCAATCTTTCTTCCGTTTTTCCGCATGAACGAAATGGTTAGAATCCTTTCAAGTACCAATTTTCCGTCCTGTGACTTTGCTTGCAAGCAGGATTTAGGATTTGACATGTTCTTGCAATCGGTTTTGTAGATTTTGTCCAAGACGTGGACAAAAGTATACACAGAATTTATGACACTTTGAATATAAGCATCGGTCGAAGATTGCTCTACTTCGTGACTGATAAAACTTCGATTTTTCGTTGTATTAATCTCTGATATTAGAACTGATATTTCTGAGATCCAAGGGTTACGATTTACCAAGTTGGCTGTGTTTGTCCATTTCTCAAATATTGTCGCCTTTTCATTGTGGGGCGAACAAATTACCACGTTGCTAGCCATGTCGTCGTTTCCATCTAAATACACAGACATTTCGGACGAGTCACCTCCAATAACCCATCGAAAATAACTGTGCTTCCCAAGTTTTTTGATCGTTCTGAAAAGTAAGCCTATGTCGCGCTTGGAGCAAAACAAGACTATTACTCGAGAATTTAACTTCTCGCTGATAGCGATCGCTGTTTCATAAAAATTGGATGCCTGGTCACCTTGTGAAAGAGCTTTTGTTGTTCCGATGCATATACCGCGGTTCTCTGCTTCTTTTGTGAAGGATTTTCTTCCCTCACGACCAAATTCATCGTCAGAGTAAACTACAGAGACATAGAGCGTGCCGTTGTGAAGTAGAAGATCAACTAACGCACGGGAGCGCATTTCATCTGAAGGAACTGTACGAGCGAAGTACTTGAAGCGTTGTTTGTCGCTAAGTACCGGGCTGGTAGCTCCGTAACTTATGTGCGGCACTTTGAATAGCCCGAGAAGATTCGAAACCTGGAGAGCCACGCTGCTTGAATAAGGTCCTATAACGCCAACAATCGGTGGCAGAGGAGCTTTAGAACAAGATGGAAAAAAATTAGACGCCTCTTCCAATGCAATGAAGTCCTTGGAGCAGTAATCAAGGATGTCAAATCCAAGCGAGATTCCTGGGAGAATGAAAGAATTGTTATTGGCTTCATCTATGGCGAATATCATAGCTTGAGTAAAATAAACTATATCGCGAGATCGCAAATCGCCACAGCTGTAATTGCACGAATCTGGGCAGTATAAATGGACAGGAAACAGACCGCCCAATATAACATCGCCCTCTTGGTAAGCCTTGGCTTTGTTGTGAGTTTGATGGTCATGACAAAAAACCAGTGGTACTAGCATCATCTGCAATATGAGCATGGTTACTCGAATGGAAATCTCCCCACAAAAAGGCATCGCCGTGAAGAAAAGAACACGCCTGAACTTATTTCATTTACATACTACTGCAGTCTATCGATTTAAGCCTGGGCACTCTACAAGTTTGAAATACAACCCTTTCAAAGGAAAAAAGCCCCTTTAAAGATTTGTTTACGTGTTTTTGACATCTGCATATCCGGAAAGAAACGCGGAGGTAGCAAAGTTTTGGGAAATTGAAAGGCGGTGACTTTGATCCTAAATAATGATACTTTTTCAGAAATTAATCGCTTTTGTCAAAACAACCAAAGTTATTGAGCGGGCGTGAGCTGCAATTCGATCACAAAAGCGTTCACAATTTCCGTGAAGAATGTATGTTAAAAACTGAAATTTAGTTGTCATACTTTCCACTATCACAGGTCTTAACTATATTTCAAAGAAATTTCAGGAGTCAGAGCAGGTGAAAGCCTAATATTAACTTTAAGTATTTCAACTCCTTTTGAAAATAAAACAAAATTCAAATTACATGTGATCTGGTTCGTATAATTAAAATCAAAATGCGCTGATTGGATGTATCCAGTGTAAATGCGAGAAACGCCATTTGATTTGTTTGGATTACAGCGAGTCTTTATCTCAGAAATATTAACCAGGAAGCTAAGCTTAAAAGAAATAAATAGTCTTAAATGGCAGTTTCATAAACAGACTGGTATCGGTTATTTCTGACAAAAAAGTTTTAAAAAGTAGTCAAATTGGCTTTCTGAATAAAATGATAATAAATTTCTGATTTGATTACCTTAGCAAATTCGTGGTTATTTGACGATTAATTCTATATGCCGAGAAGTAGATAATCACTGTTTATGTGAGAATATGAGAAAATGTCTTTTGCTAATATCGTCGGTGATAATTGCCGGAATTGACTGAGATTTGAAGTTAAGGGCATTACTGATGATAGTGACACAGGTCTTTCATTTGTATAAGAAGTCGGGATTTTTTTTTGCCAAAGCCTTACTGCTTCTTTATGACTACTTAAATCAAGCTTGTAAATGATACATTAAAATTTCAAAAATCTAGGAAGTGCTCTGTTTGTCTTATTACCTATTAAGTTGAAGCAGTTTGAAAATGGGTTTTTGACATAACCCGGCGAGGTATCTGAATAAAGCACAGTTTAACTGAGCTAATAAGAAGTCTTACTTCTTCGCATATTGGTAACCACCTGTTAGATTATTTATACCTTAAACCATTTGCTGCTATATTACGATAAAAAAAAGTTTTAAAAATGGGAAAAGTATTATTCTGTGAATCACTCAGTCATAGAATATCAATTGCCATGGCAACTAATCATGACAAGTATATTCTCCATAGTAAGAATTATCATGGCTTTGAGCTTTTTTTCGGTTGTTTCTCCCCTTAATTTGTACTTCGGACTGACAAACGGAAGACGTAGATTCTACCCTCCAAAGAATTTTCTTTGATTTTTGGGAACGAGGTTTCCTTTTCTCTTTGGTAGGTGTCTCTTTATTCATCAGACATGTTTTGGCCAATTTTGGCGACAGTCAACTGTTAGACGCTATAGTTACGAAGCATAACGCGATAAGAGACATGGGGACAAATTTTCACAGAAGCAGCAAGATCGTTGGCTACGCAAACGTATTATAGACCTCAAGAATGAAAAACTGCTTAGACTTAAATGATAAAAGAGATTTGCATAAATCTGTATTCAAAATGGCAGCCAAGATGGCGGACATCTGAGTGACGTCAAAAGTCCTTAGTAGAGCCATATCCCGTTGTAATTATATTGTCCTCTAGGATAATTATACTATGTACTAAAACTCGCCTCAGGATAGTATTGCATCATTTATTTTATAACATAAAAAAACGGTGAGGATTGGGGGTGGGGTCACACAACTTCTTCCTTGCACAAAACTGGGAAAGGATTTTCTTGTACCCTAGCTTGTACAATCAGGGGTTTGATAGCCATAATCAGGAGCCAAAATCATTATAACAAAACTTGGGTCCAATTGACACTTTTATTACTCTTTGGTACGCAATGTCCATCTAATCATATACCTGTTGGTGATGTCTGAAAATTTACTGAGTAATTTATACAGTCCATCACGTGTACATGTATTAGCGACGAGACATTTTCACCGTTCATCCGTTCACAGTAATAATACGACATCAGCACTGAATATTTTTTAAAATCTATTTTTATGTAAATGCTATAATAACAATAGTATTAACTCAAAGTCACGGTAACAAATACAAAAGGTTTTATTTTTGATCGTTATTTGAGACCTAGACGTACTAAGGTCAATTTAGCATTAATGAGGACATTTGTGATTTATAACTGAGGGTTTCTTTCTCCCATATACAAGGCACATTTAAAAAACTGTATCACTGTAATGCAGTATTGTAAAAGTCCAATGATAGTCGACTTGTTGCTTTCCTTCTCGAAACCTGTTAAAGCATATGAACTTGCGCGCTGTTGGTTTGAAACGTTGAGTAGATTTACATCTTCTTTGGGTGCTTGGAGTTTTGACGGCTTTTCGCCAGTTTACTCTGAAAAAAAAAGGGAAGGAGACGCAGATTAGAGTAACGTCAACGATTCTGACTAATTATGTTGCCCAATTTACTTTTTTTTTTTTTTTGCTCAGAAGTCTTACAAGTCAAACCCCCAAATCTCTGGAGTCCAAGGGATATGCCGTCGAATCTCTAGTAACGACCACCTCTATCCAACGGCCACTTTTTGTGGCGGACAGTCCATACTTTGACTCTTGTTTAAACCTCTCTACAACGGCAACTTTCTTCTGTCCCCAAGGTGGCTGTTGTTGAGAAGTTCAACTTTATAATAGAAGACCTCAGGATTCCAGGACGAGGACAACTACTAGTACGAGATTTGACTTCAAGTGTTTCGCGTATTCTCAACAAATAAACAGCCTTGAAAGCTTCATCGTACTTTTTGTCACCAGAAAAAATTAGCACGGTTACTTTATTGCAGGGGGTTAAGCTCTCTCCCAATCACAAAATGATACAAGTTCTAACCGTTGTTAACCTGTTCCCGCCACAAAAGCATTCTCGCTGAAACCGTAGTAGAATGGCGAAGACTACCACGTTTTCTCTTCAAAATGACGCTGGTTTACGCGCACAGACTACTTGGTATTCAGAAAATCCGCTTTGTGGTCGTCCTTGTCTTAGAATCTAAAGGTATGTAGTTTGTTGTAACAGTACAATCCGCTCCTTGGCAATTCGAGCTGGCCCATCATTCTGAGGAGGCGGCCGAAACAAATTTTAAAAATAATTCCTTTCTTTAAAAGGTATTTGCAAAGATGCTATCACCAACCTTTTTTGTGGTTATTTTATCCTTTGTTATTTTTTTATGTTTAGTGGTAGTCTCGTCTTTTTGGTGCGTCTTTGACCGCTGAAAAACACAAAAATTAAGAAAGGTCACATAAAAGGAAAAAGCAGTAATTATTTTAAAAACTTGGTAAGAAGATTAGATAGACTGGCCCAAGGGTACCACTTTACTTGTTTTTACTTCAACCTGATTCCATCTGTGATCCACTGCACATAACTGAGCACACACACGGCAAAAATCTATTTGTTAACCGGTCGAGAATAGTTGACCAAGGAAGCTGTTGATCATATTCCAATTAAGTGATGACAAATATTTTGTAAATTTTCCTGTTTTCATCAACAAGTGAATTACTAATTCACCTTTACAGTCAGTATAGTGTTCAGTTGCCAAAAATATGGTTGATGTAGAGATGACGATGGTGCTGCGCAAGAACGGCCAGTTACGTCGGTTAAACACTGCTGGTTAGTTATATGACTTATGGTCACACTTTTTTCATATACATAAAAATAGCAGTCCATTTGTATTTGTCATGTTTTTCATAACTACCACAGTCAGAAGAATAAGTGACATAGTGTTACCTGAGAGTCACTTGGTCTTGCTATTGTTGACTGTTTAAGGATAAAAGTACGTCGTCAGTCGTTAATTGGTTCAAATGTTAGTGAAGAACAAAGAATCTAGTGTTTATCCTAAAAGCCATGCGCAGCACAATCATGCTTAAGTTACGTTTCAGTGAAAGTAGTGCGTTCAAAAATGAAAAGCATGGATATGTCATGAATTATCCTTTCGTGATTCAGATTTGTCAGAGTAGACGTTTGTTCATGGATCTAACGTCAATCAAGTCCTGTTAAAGAGTGCGTTTTTACTCTTCATAGATCTTCAGACACTCATCGACCTCTGACCCTCCCCAGCCAAAACGTTATGTTGTTTTTAGTAATAGGGAGCTTTAGCAATGACAACGGCGACGGCAACGAGAACGGCGAAAAAGCAATAGGAACTTACACATGCTTCACGCTTTTCTGTACACTTCGTTGCCGTCACTGAACGACAACGACGTGAACATGCCTAACTTCACGTTTTATGGAGGACGTAAACTAGCGCCGACGAATTTTTCTTTCCCCTTTTAAACTTGTGTACGGTCCCCTGAAAAATCAACCCTAGGGAAATTCGCCTTAATTTGACATTTTCAGCGAATTGGAATAGACGCGAAAAAGTTTGAAAAAATGCGGATTCGTTTTACAAGTGACGTTTTCGCTGCCGTCGCCGTCGTCGATGCTAAAGCTTCCTAATATTTCCCTCGACTGAGCAAATGGTGTGGGTTATATTATTAGGCAAGCAATAAGCAATACTCTATACTAATTTGATCAATTTAGCCAGAGCTCAACATTTTGACGAGTTTAAGTCGCAAATAATGGTTAGAAGAGAGAAAATGTATTGCCGTAAGTGCAAAATACTTGCCTTTTTAAATGCCATTTGCTGCTGCCCCAAATCTCCTCCACCACCCATGTTTTGAAGACCTGCAAGTCCTCCACCGTCAGCCATCATACCTTGCATGCCTCCTTGAAGAGACGCTCCCATCATTCCCTGCCCCTGAAGAGCACTGAGAGCCCCACTATCCGATAACATTCCACCCTGTCCTTGTTGTCCTCCTGTGAGAGCAGAGGACATGCCTTGCATGCCTTGCATTCCTTGCATTCCTTGTATGTCTTGAACGCTTTGCATTCCTTGAAGTCCTTGATACGATTCTCCAGCCTTTCCTCCTAGTGATCCTTCAGTCATTCGGCTGATGGCAGATTCACTCAATCCTGCGCCACCTCCTAATCCAGCCTGCGCCAAGGAATCTTGGCCCATGGCTCCAGCATCGATTGCTCCTCCAATCGGTGCCTGCTCCATAGTAGCTCCTTCGCTTTGGCCCCCCATCTGTTGAGGTCCTGCTAATTCTCTAAAGCTTCCGATACTGCCTCCTAACGCTTGGGATTCCCGGGCTCCGAGACTTCCCATTCCTATGTCACTCTGCTGGGCTGCTCCTCTCATCTCCGCTGGCGATATTTTGTCCTCTTGGTGAATAAAGTTTGAGATCTCTGTTGAATGATGTACAAAGACAAAATTAATTTCCTAAAAAGGTCCTTCTGTCTGTTCCTCAATAAGTTTATATACAATCCAAATGAGCAAATGTTTTATTTTTGCCAATGTTATTATTATGAAACGACTAAGGAAAAAGAGAAATATGATCAGTGACAATCTAGTCTGATAATGCCCAACCTTCCTCTGTCGTTAAATTAAAGAATACAACTACGGCGTTAACGAGCTTTTGAAATATCGACGGCCAAGGAATATTAATAACAACCAGGGCTCCTGTCACAGCCTTACGGGTGCGATATCCTGTGTTACCAGAGAATGTGTGGTAACATTGGTTAACAAGCAGTCTTTAAGTAATTTACCCTCTTTTGGGTAAGGGATTAAATAACGACACGCCCCAACTATTCCGCTTTCTTGCAATTCAATATGGTGTTTTCGCAAACTAAAACACGAGCGCAGACAACGTTTTAATGTAGATTGATTTATTTTACTGTTACCGTCATTAGGAGTTAAAGTGCAGAATATTCAAGACCCTTTGTGAAGCATTATCAGCCTTTAAAGGATGTTTTGACAAGATAAAGTGTTTTAAAATGGTTTCAGTTGCAGAATATTAGTAAGACAAACCTGGTGAACCAAATTCAGTCGCTTGGCGTTCAGTAAAGTAGCGTTGCGTTAGAAGTCCCTGAAAATCGTCTTAGTGACCGGTGTAATCGTCATGCAAGCATGCAAAAAGAGACACGTGCAACAATACGCCCAGTTAGATGAAATGGAATGCATTGCTCCATCCACTGAGTGTCAGTAAAACGCGGGGTCGGGGTCTATCTTTTTTTCAAAGAATGCTGTTTTAGGGTTAGGGTTAGGGTTAGGGTTTGTGTCAACCCTAACCGTAACACTAACCCTAAAACAGTATTCTGTAAAAAAAAACGATAGACCCCGACCCCGGTCCCGGCCCCGACCCCGACCCCTACCTCACGTTTTACTGACACCCCCATCCATTAGACCATAAAAACTTGTCTAACAAAAAAGAAGACAGTTAATTGTCCCCCATTTTTTCATTACATCGTCAGGATCGCGCGCTTACCGGTACGGGCAGGCATCTGTACCGAGGAGGCGGGCGTCGGGTGTATAGCGGTGCGGGGAGGGAGGAGAGACGCCCTCTATTTTTCTCGCCTCCTCCCAAACTGTCCTCCGTCCCCTAAGTGGATTTCACACTCTTCCCTAGGCTAGACTCGAAACATTGGAGACTAGGATGGCTGCCGTAACGCCAAGCGCTCGATCTCGACGATCTTACGGAAAAATTGAGGACTGTGAACCGTCTAATAATTTTAAAAAAAGGTTACGTAATTTGATTTTGAGTTTAAAATTGGCTAAAAAGTTCCGAAAACTTTGGAAGCTGTTATTTCTTGGGGGGAATAAATAGTATATTTTAGGTTTCTCTGACTAAAAGTGCCTCAAATCATCGATGGCAAAAGAACTCCATTGTTTCTTTCGTTAGAATTTCGTTTTGCTGCTACCGATTCATACACTTTAAGCATCGACTTCATCTAACAGGTCGTCCTTGTAATAAAGATGTTACTAGACATTTTGCACACCTTGGTTCTCTGCTGGACTAATTCCTTTTTGCTGTCCTTCAAGGAATGACATTCCTCTTCCACCTCCTTCGGGATTTGTGATTCTTGGTTGCATTCCTGTCTGCCCCTGAAAATTTCAGGATAACTTTAAATTTATTTGTTAAAATACTGACGATTTTAAATTCCGCGCAGCAAAAAAACATCAAGAACTAGGAGGAGAGCAAAGGAGAGTTACCGTGGATGGCGCTCCACCGACTACTGAAGCTCCTTCATTGCCAATCGAAGCAGAACCGCGAGATGACTGTGACTCAGCTGCGATTGCACGTTGGATTTCATCTAATTCATGAGCACTTTCAGAGGCGACCTGGGCTTGAATGCTCTGCTTCTGCAGGTTTAAGAAGGAGAAATCATTGCGACAAACATTGCAAGCATCACTTATCTGAAAGAATTCTTATAATTCTTATGAAAGAGCTTTGTCATGCTGCGAGTTCCATATTTCAGGTGAAAAATGAGCTGATATTCAACTAAGTATATTCGAAGTCTTTTTCTATCCTAGGAATCTCTAAAAGAGAGCTAATAAGCTCTGAAACGGAAGGCAAAGAAGTGTCGGTTTTGGTCATTTTGTTTGACACGCACAATTTGAGGTGACTTGGAAAACTTGGAATCCATTCAGTCGTGGTAATCGAGAGTCAAAGATGTAAACTTGTATTTTAGGGAGAATACAAAAGTCATTTTAAACAAAACTTTTTGAGTAAGTTTTCTTTGATTCCAAAGTGTTTTAGAGTTTTTAAGCAAGACCAATAAATCGTGACAAGGATTTTGAAGACATCCGTTACCTCTGCAGCATCTTGTCTCTGTATATTTGTGGCCCAGTTGACGCCCTTTGCTCCGTCTTCCCAGCCAGCTCCTCCTCCGCCACCGCCACCAGGGCCATACCCTTCTCCTGTTTCATATTTCTTCTCCTCCTCTGCCTCCATGGCCAGCCGATCTTCAAGCTTGGTATCCTCTTTGTAATCATTATTGTTCCCTCCGAAGTCACTAAACCCAGGCTTTCGATTCACTTTGTGTTCTTTCACTCTCTTTATGTGAGAGCCGTCCTCGTCATCATTCCCTGGAGAAGAAAGGGCTCACGTTAAAATCACGTCCACTCTATAAATTCTGCATGTGACATTTAAGTTTTATGATAACTAATGTTCTCATCTAAATGCTTGTGACTGTAAAACTCATGGACATGCTGACTAGCCAAGGTTAAAGGAGCTATGTCACTAGGATTAGACCTATTCTGTTCTGTAGTCATTACTTATTGCCTTACATCTATACTCAACATGCTTAAGTTATGTGTTAGATTTGTCAATCCAGTTAATGAGTACAATAAAACAAATCGTGCCTATTGACGCATGCGTCCTGATGTGTAGAGTGGGCTTGTCACTGTCAGTCACGTGATCGTTGCTTCCCTCACTCGGTTCTGATGCCCCTTTGTTACTCTTAACTCTTTCTTCGGCCTTATGTCCGTGCCGCACTGCATCTTCAGCAGCTAAACTGGCGTCTAATTCAGCTTTCTGTACAGCCTCTTTTACTACAAATGCAAAATCGGCGACAAAATAGTTGAGACACTGAGTGACAGAAGTCAAGATGCTCCTGCTCAACAAAAGTCAAGCGTACACCCGGGCTTGCGTATTCTTATTCCAAATTTTTTAATACAAATATCGGCAATAGACGATTTTCGTAGAGCAAGACGACACTAGAGTATTGTAGTCAAACAGATTTCTGGAGAGTCGGACTTGGCATGGACATTCACCATAAAATCTCATACCAAGATTTCTTGCTGACGAAGTCTTTGCTTTCGGTTTCGTGAACAAGAGATCTGGGTACGAGATTTCTTTCACCACCCTAGCCTTATATCCCTTTTTTAAAAACTTGTACTCGTTGTAGGAAAAGGTCAATTCAGTGTCTCAACTATTTTATTGGAAAACGACGAAATGATTCAAGCGGAGTATATGTCAAATCCCGAGGTAACGTATGTGCCTCGTATTATGTCGATTGTTTTCGTAATAGGCCATTTTACAGTTGTGTACGCAGAGACCTAGCCTTTGAATAGAAGCGAGGCTGGTGGTGACCTTGTTTTGTTACAGACTTTCAGTGTTTTTCATATGTAAATGATCATGTTCACGGGCTTGTTAGCATGAGAATACCGCGATTTACATATGAAAAATGAGAAGGTCTGTGACAAAACAAGGTCACGGCCAGCCTCGCTTCCATTCAAAGGCCAGGGAACTGAGCACACAACTGTAAAATGGTCTATTGTCATTAAGCGTCCTCGCCACTCTAATATAATGTTTTTTAGCAACGCTACATCTTATCTCAAAGAAACAGCATTAGCAAAGCACTATTAGGCATGCGCAAAAGCAAACATATCTGATTCATCTAGTCACTCATGAGCAAATAATCACTATAACATTGGATTAAGCTTGCAGATTCATTAACGCATTTTACCACTCATTCAATTCGTTAAAAGACTTACTTTACTTTAAGCATTAATGCACACTTATTTTGATGCTTGCATTACACGTACTCCTTGCCCATCTCACCACCGCAACGTTACATACCTTTATTTTCCAGATTAACCGACTTTGAATCCTCTCTGTGCACTGAGAATAAAAAATGGACATATTTTCATCCCATTTGCGACCGTTAGACCAATTCGCAGCTTATATTTTCATCCTTGTATGTATTAGCATGTTATAGACTGACTGCTTATAATAGTCCACAGACAAAGCCAAAATAGCAAGCTCATCTAATTAAGTGGTTTATTTATAGACAGCGGCAGTGATTTAAGTTACTTGTAGACCGTATTTGTACAAACAGAAGACGGTAACATTCCGCTAACGAGACATAGGATTTACCTTGTTCTGATCCAGGTTTTTCTGTAGTTTCAAGTGGAGCTGAGAACACTAGAGGCAACATCAATGATTTAAAAGGAAAGAATAAGATGCTGTTGGATAAATTTAACATATTATGAAACGTGCAGTCCCTAAATGCAATTGAACGAAAACACAGTACTACGATATATTTGGCAATCGACTAAAAATTTCCCAGCAATAATCCACAAAATTGTTCAGTCTTTTTGGCAAACCATGCATCACGCAGATAGATCCCGACCATTTTTTTGATAGTCTTTCGCTCGCATACTAAAGATTGTGGGCGTGTTTGTACGATCCCTTTAAGTAACCTCCTCGACCTAATAGTTACTGAAGAACCAAATAACTCGTATGATAGCGACAGCAATAAATAGGTTTGAAAACAATAGGTTTATTAATTGAAACACTGAACAGCTTTGCACACACAACCCAATTTTTTGGTACATTTCTTTGCTCTCCTCGGCACACTTTGCGGGTTGCGATTGGCCCCAATTCATACGTTAAATCACACATGCGCCGAATCTGAAGGAAACACCTGTTACACTGTTTCCGAATCAGTTAGGCCCAGCTGCATAAAAAGTAGCGCCGGACACAACGGCTCTGAATCTGACGCTCGGACCACTCAAACTATTTATTTTAGAACGTTTTTAAATACATTTGATGTAAGGTTTTATGCAATTGCACTCTTAAAGAGCCTCAGGCAATAAGGATGTCTTTACTCACTTCCAGATATCTAGAGCAGCTTTGCTCATTCACCCCAAAATAGTACTTATCCATGATGCTTAACAACTAATATCATATAGAAGCATTTTAAAGTGACTCACTGGTAGACCTCAGATTCTTAAAAACGTCTATTACAGTAAAATCCTAGAAAATGATAAAGAACCTGCGAGCTTAGGAATTTGGCTTAATTTGTACCATACATGAGAAACACTCTCCAGTTCTGTGAACTATTAGTAAAGCTCGCTTTTTCAATATTCTGTATTTCCACACTAGCTACAAGACATCTCCGGTCAAACGAGACAACCCGCTTGTTGTGACCAGAAGAATATACTGAGTGGGACCAATGATCGAGTCACTTTGTGCTATACTACCACAAGTGTATGGCGACGTTTATCATTATAAGTAAAAATATTACTTTTAACTCACCTGAATGCGACAAACATAATGTCAGGCACGTGAAAAGAAGTCGTATGTTCATCACACGGGCTTTTCTTGTTCGCGGTTATTGTTTATTTATCGTAAATCTGTACCTGTTGACCAAATGATAGAAATTTATCACCAAGGTTAAACGCTAACAAAAGACATTCGGGCTCTTTATGTCGAAAATATAAACGTTTCACGAAACAGATAGCCCCAGAGCTTCCGTAGATGTCAATGGAAGACATTTCTCACTGGGCAAAGAATCGCTTCATCTTTTTATCTTTTTCGCGCGCCATCGTGGCAGGTTGATAATAGGAACAGGTCTATCTTACTTTGTTTGTAATAACTATTCATTGTTTATAAATAAAACCTTTCTTCGCCGCCAAAGTATCGTCTTGCCATAGACAAAGCTTTGTGTAGCCATACCATCATGAGAAGAAAGACTTACCTTTAAAAATCATCAAATAAGGAGGAAAAGGAACTTGGCAAACTTGTCCTATGTGATCACTTCCGATAAATGACGTCATAGACACAGAGAAAGTCCTTTGAATTAACCCAGATTAAATATTTACCAACACGCTACGAAGAATCTTGAGACAAAAGCATCCATTCTGATTCTAACGCTGGCGAAACGATAAACAGAATCACAACTACACAATGAAAGCTACAGAAGATAGTGTGTCAATGAAGGAAATTGGTTTAATTGTGGAGGTTAATTTCCGTTTTTATGCTTCAGAAACGCTTAGAATGTGTTCATTGTCTCGTGGGTTTTACCTGCTAAATTCAAAGACTTGACCATTCTTGCACATAAACTCGTCCATATGATGGAGACATGTCAGTATCGTGTACATGAAAGGAAAATTAGTTTTAGAGGTAGGGGGAGTATTTCGTACAGTGCATACGGTGATCTGAATTGAAGAATTCTTTGCACGACGCGTGCATAAAACACTTCTGGAAACGAATGTGGTTTTGCTAACATCACGACGTAGGCGAAACGACTCGTTAGAGAAGCACTAGGACAAGGGAAGTAAAGAGATCATATCGTTTCAAGTGGTAATTTCCTTTGTTTGTCCTCTTCCAGTGCGTCTATTGCTCTCCAGCATAGTGGTTACGTTTTGTACCACATGGATGAGTGGCTGTAAAGGCCTCAGTGGGGCTGCGACCGTCTATTACCTGGTCCATTAGAGAACCAGAAGTACAGGCAACACTGGAGAATTTCGTTGTCTACTTTGCACAAAATAGGCGAAGTCCGGGTGGGACCTTTGAGACGCATTTGCAACGAGATTTATGATATTTCTGTCGGGTTATAGATTACAGAAGAGCTACAAGAGCCGTTAGAGCCTGAGACTTGATCGCTAGCAGAGTTTTTGCTCTGATTATACATTTCGACGTCATCTGACAAGTCTTTGGCGGAGCATACCCTCTGGCTTATGATTTATTCTCCTATTATTGTAATAATTTTTTGTGGATTTCATATATTGTTGTTTATACCCTTTCTACGAGTTATCAATAACATCGTCTTTAAAAGAGACGTCTATCAGCAATATTAGCAAAAATTCCTCAAGAAACTCCGCTACACGGCAATGGTCGAGTTCGTCTACGTGCAACCAAGAGCTTAACGTTCAAGTGTGCGTATTTGTCCAATCACAGCGCCCGCTTTTTTTGTTATGTTTCAAATCTCAAACTTGGCGCTCTATTAGAGTTTTCTTAACGTACAGTAACCATACAAGGATATGTTGACATAAAATAATATGATCGATAAGTAATAAATGCGGGGTAAAAATGCTTGTTTTGGACGAAAATAACAAACATGGTTTTGTAGGTGTTCTTGCTCGAACAGATTAAAATTTTACTACGCACTATAAATGCATACAGAATGGGGAAAACAATTTGATAGTATATGTACCTTAGACCTTGAAAAAAAAAACCAGTGTTTCCTGCAAGTGATTAGGTTTTTGATAGGAAAAGAATAATTGCGCCCAGTGAAAGTTAAAACATGTCTAATACCTGTCCGAATCTTAGTTTTGCGTGAGGTGATGTGGGATGTTAACTAAGGAACGGTTAAACCTGAAACGAGCGAGATAGAAAAAAAAACTCTAAATCGTACTGTAAAAATAATGAAAATCACATATAACGTGCTCCAATCGAATGGCTGCACAAAAGGAGCCACATTGAACGTTATAATAAACCATTCAGCACAGGGAAGACCCCAAGCCCCCCCTTTTCTTGGTATATGGGCACGTCAAAGGATTCTCCAACAGACTCAAGATGTAAATCTCTTTAGTCTGGGCAATTGTCTATTAAGAGCATAAGTGGTCAAAAGCTTTAAAATAAGATCAGTTCAGGTCAGGTGAGTTGCTGTTTTGGTGCTTTTTTATGACACTAACAGGTTGAATTGACGTTTAATTATACCTTTTTTGAATGGACACACAGTTATTAGGCAAAAGAATGCTAATGATGCGGCAAATTTAGGACACACCTCCTACTCATCACAGCCAGGTCAAGTGAGTTGCTGTTTTGGTGCTTTTTCAATGACACTAACAGGTTAAATTGACCTTTAATTTACCTCTTTTGAATGAATAGTTATTAGGCAAAAGAATGTTTATGATACGGCAAAATTAGGACACACCTCCTGCTTATCAAGGCCAGTTAAAAAAATCCTATTTTTGTTACGTTCACTCGAGCAGGGCAAGTCTCTCTCATAATGTTTTGCCACAGATTAAGAACGGAGGCGACCTGTAGCCAGTAAGGAAACCGACAGGTGGCTTGTGAGGGTGGCAAAACATTACGTCATACAGGAGGCTTCATGGCAGGCTGGCTGTCTGTAAAGAAATCGCTGAATTTGAGAGTGGTAACCTCGAGTTGAACGCGAATTATTCTTATTTTGGCGAAGACAATCCGATCGCGTAAGTAAAAATATTCGCCTTTTATTGGTGTAATTGACGAAAACTACTTTCCCATAACAGGTGCCATGAAGTATTTGATTTCAGTTCTTCTATAGCTCAATACTAAAGATATAAACATAATATGCTCTGTAGCCTGGACGTTGCCTTTACTTCATTTCTCCCTAGCGCATTGTAAGCAAACATGTAAGTGTTTCTTTCTTGTAAGTGAGAAACCACGTCCCCATTCCGCGATGTTGTGATTCAGTGGCTCACCCGTGGGGATGACTCGAGAAGGCCTCGCAGTCCCTTTAGGTTTCATACAACCACGCTTGACGACAATAAGGCTGATGCACAAATTTAAACAAGCCTATCTTCTTTTTCCTATAGTCTCGGTGCTTAGTTGACACAAGTGACTCGCTTCAGTTTGGAGTACGAAATCTACCAACGCATGATGTGCTACTTACAATGACGCTGATTCTTGTTACGGTAGTGATTATCGGTCTGGAAGTCGTGATTGTTGCTGAGTGTAAGTTAAATTAGTTTTCTCCGCCTCGTTGACTTTCCTGTGTTTGAAAATTTCCCTTGACAGTTTCTGACAGGTATTAATTTCCATTGATTTCATGTTGTTGACCAAAATTGTTATTTTGAAACGATCTGTTTTTTTTCGAAAATTCCTCCCATGGTCGCTTTATTCCTAAGGAAGGTGAACGGCACCTAGAAAATCAGGGCTCCAGCAGAATTTGATTTTGAGAGTTCTCGTTTTTGTGCACTTCTTCCTGGCTCGGGGTCTTGAAGAGTCCGGTTTTTAAACAAGGGTGTCGGCGAGTCGGGGATTTTACCGTCCATTTGTTAACCCAATATCATGTTATTTCAAGCGAGTCTCGCTTATTTGTCCAAAATATAGCAAACAGGAACCGTTCACCCTTTATTTCAAGCACAAAGTAGTTGTTGTTTTTTAGTTTTAATTCTGTTACAAACGGTTGAATTGACATTTGGGAAAAGGTTGCACACAACCACTTCTTTCTCTTTAGTCATTTAAAGCCATAGAGGTTACAGAACGATTAACATTTATTTACCCTCTTTGTTTACGAGGCCTAGTTTATTATGATACCAACCGAATCAAAAGCAGGAATGCTAATTGAAATGAAACCAGTCGTTAAAACCTGATATCAGTCAGTAGAGTACACGTTTTGAAGAGGCTCATTTATTAATGGCCAATTGGACATTTAGAAAGTTCAGCTAATTTTAAATTCTTTCACAATTTTGTGTGTTCACTTGATTAGGTTCCAATGAAAGAGTACAGAAGCGTGCGATCAGAATTGACAGACGGAGTCCATGGGAGTATGGTGAGTGAATTTCTGTTGTGAAATTGATAAATTTCTTTTACTTTTCATTTAGAGCATTTCTCCGTTTCTAATGGACTAATATTATATAAGGGAGCTTAAGCAAAGGCGTTTTTTGACGACGCATGTCAACTGGAAGTGAGATCTTTTTTATTTTAAAATAAATTGACAATACCAAATTTGTATTTCTTAGTCTCTTTCTTTACTATAGAGACGATTTGTCCAAAAATCTGGGCAAAAATACCGCTCAAGAATGAAAAAAGTCCACTTCCGGTTGACGTGTGTCGCCAAAAAGTCTTTGCTTAAATTTACTAATCCCAGGCTAATTCTTCATATCCAGTAATCGTTGACCAAATTTGAAAGATGTTAGCTGTTAATATTACATTTCAAGTGAATCATAACAGTATCGACTAAAAATAAGTGGAGAAAAAGGGGCAAGATTTGACGTTATGCGAAGAAGAATTATCTGAAGTATTCTCTGAAAAACATAAAATACCTCCTAACCTGCCTTCTCATCCTAATACTACCGCTGAGGGAGACTCCAGACTGGAACGTCAGTACATGGATCGAAGTAAGCATGATATTGTGAGCTAAAAATGATTTTTAATCAATAATGAAAAAATATTAGATAACGCTGAGTTTGATTCAAAGAATTATGTTCATCGAGTAAGGCGTTATGAGACCTTACGGTCTGAGACCACCAACTCTCATTTCAAGTTGAATCCGAAATTCGACCATCGTCAAATGGTTATTGCTTAAGATCATGTAAAGAGATAAAAAAAAAAAACTGATTTGACTCTAAAATACAGTTGTTTAACTTCTTTTCGTTTCCTTACAGCAATGCTTAAACATCTTTTAGGAGACCCGAAGGGAAATCGTAAGTGCATTCTTTCATTGTTGAGGAATTATACAACAGAGGTCAGAAATTAGCTAGCGTTTTTTTTTACTCAGCTACTTCCTCGGTCTTTATTCCGCTCAACCAAACCTAAAAGCACAATGAAACAGAAAGACCATGACTCAAGCGTCTATATCCTCTACTCTTTTCAAGAGTAAGGATCATGGTAAGGCCCACCAGGCGTAAAAAAGACAAGTCAGTGCACAATTGAGTATCTTAACGGAAACAAGGAGTGCTTACCATTTACGCAATCCACCCATGTTGGAAATTTTGTGCATAAACATATACGTCGAATGTATAGATTTAGCCAGGGCTAAAAGCGAAGCTCTGGTTAATAATACGTGTAAACAAAATCGTGTAATGCTAAACGGGGACGACAATGAAAATGGCTTCAACACTAATAGATCTTTTTACCAAAAAAAAACAAATTGCACGTGCAGTGCACTTTTTCTTCTAATTAGCAAAAACCAAATTTGCAAGTGCAGCACGCTTTTTTTGTCTTTCTATTGCCGTTGTTTTGCACGACTACATCGCTGTTTTGTAGACTAAAACGTCAAACTTCCTAGGTACACATTATTTTTATGGAGAAATTGTCGTATGTGCTTACCCAATATTTTGTTTCCTGTGTTCATGTTCGCTATTATTTTCCCTGCCGCTCATTTTCACCTTGCTGGCCGCTAGTATTTCTCATTTTCTCACCGCCGCTTTGAATTTCCATGTGTTTCTTCCTACGAAATTCGTCTCCTTTCTTTTCAATAACTCGCTCTAGCTCTTTCTCGGTTATCCACGTTAGTGTAAAAATAAAAAATAATACCGAAAAAGACACGACTTTGTTGTTGTTTCTTCTTTCTAAAAGTCCTGGCGGCCATGTGTTAGACCTATTCGGCTGACTCAATGTTGTACCCAATTCAAATCTCCCGGGGATAAGATTCTTTGTGTGCTGTATTTGCATTATAATGTGGCATTCACATTTAAATGATATGGAAATTCCTGAAGCAAAACGTTTTATTCCCAAAGGGTTTGAATTGGGTACAACATTGGGTTAGCCGAATAGGTCTATTTCCGTCCAAATAAAACCTCTAGTTGAACTTGGGTTGCCATACCTGTTGATTTAGTTATTTTACATTGGTATGCCTGTGGTGCGGACGGACGGTCGGGCGGTCGGTCGGTCGTTCTGTGTACGGTCACGTGATTACCAAATTTTCTCGGATTGGTAGATTACTACATTTCCTTAGTTATGGGGCTCCGCGCGTGGAGCTATTAAATTTTACTTGGTGGTAAAACGACCCGCTACAAAGTATATCCAAATGATCTGAACAGGTTAAAAATAGTTTGAAAAATTCCATCGCCTGAAACGACAGCCCATACTGTCAGAAGCTTCCCAAACGGAATGACGCGTACCATTTTATTTTTTAACTGGAATTTCCGGTCTTCCCATCATGAAATGGTAAGTGCCCAAGGTTTTACTGACAGTCGGCAAGACCCTCGTTGGTGGGTCCGGCCGAAATTAATTCTACAACCTCCGGCATAGCTGGAAAGCTCCCTACCAACTGTACTTATTGTTACCGAAACCTCTAAGTCATCATCAAGTCTCATCGCGCCAGTAGGTGCATGAGGCCTTGAAACCTCTCAGTGTTATCGTGTTTATAATTTCTTCAAAGTAAAACCCTAAAAGATTCCTTAGAGCACTTACTTCGCCTTATTGTCTCTACCTACAGCAAAAACAGCAAAGGCTGTACAAGGGGAAAAAAGAACAACAAGGCTACATCGTTTATGTTCTGGTAAAATAAAAATGAGAGATGAATGGACAAAAGACAAATCGATTTATGACAAAATTATATGCGGGATGTTCACTAGAAAAGACGAGTACAGGAAACATGAGGATCGTGTAGCAAGGTTATTGGCAGGACAGTCAGGGAAAAAGAGTCTTAAGGAGCAGAAAGACGAACTTATCAGAGCCGTAAATCAAATGGTGAATGCCGCTGGACCCATTCCTATCTTAAAGATCAAAGGATAATTTCAGTTTCATATAGCTGTCTGATTTTAGGAAAAGGGACCCTTCAACATAGCCTCCCACGCAGACGTTCTTAGGAGTTCGTCAGGGGTTAGTCACGCGTTCCTGGGGGCAGGAACGCGTGACGAACCCCTTGCATGGGAGGCTAACTACAACAGAGAGGGTCTGTAAACAATGTATCTCATTTCTGTTGTTCCCAGATTGTCTTAACTTCTAAATTAACAAACAGGCCTTAGTGTGGCCGAGGTTCTTACAAGTGTGGTAGAAATTAGCCATTTAACCACGCCCCGTCCCCTGCCCTGCCTTTGTCCTAACTGCTAATATAGAAGGAGAACAACAAGCTACCACTGCAATGATTTTAATGTTTGCTGCGTGACCACTCCTGTAGGGCCACAAGTTACATTGCTATATTAGCCAATAGTTGGAATTCTAATAAAAGTACCTTTCTCTGAAATAAGACAGATACCAATGCTGAAAAAATAGGCGTATGGTAGCCTTTTAATAAACACAACAGGGGGAAGTCAACCTGAATCTCCAACACTAAAGAAAATTACCGCTGAGTTTGGAAACCAGTCTCCTTCGATGTGGATTTTTTTATGGAAGTATTTAAGACATTACTTTTCTATTTCCTTGTTTTATCATTTTAAATAAACAAATTTTCGAGAATTGAAGACTTAATTCACATTTCACAGTGAGCGTTCAGGTAATTCTCCTTTGGCAGTAGTCATTGACCAGAGCTTATGGGGGCGGAGCGAATAAAGAGAAAAACGAACAGCGCAAGGTTAGTCTGTTGGCTATTTGCAAACGTGATCGAGGAGTTAAACTCGGGTATTATTTAGTCAAACCTGTCTTAAGCAGTCACCCTTGTTCGTTGAGAAAGGCAACTTTTCAGCTAAAAGATGTCGCGACTTGGAGAGAGAGGGGGTGTATTAGAGTTAGAGGCGGTAAAAAGCTCATTACCCCAGTTTTTTAGTAAACTAGTGCAAAGGGCCATGGAGGGATGAGCGCCAAGGCTCTGAATCCCAGACCAGGTATCCTATGGTGGTGAAATTTGATCTGGAATCCTTTGTTGAATGACTCTTTATATCGAATTTGTAAAGAAAGCAATCTGCCTTCTTTAACGGGAGTATCAAAATGTCATAGTCCTTGCACTGATAAACCATTCTATCATATACTATAGAACCAAAATAACCCAAAAATTCGATGCCGATTACAAATCTACACATAAAGTACTTTATTTTTTATAACATCTGTTCCAGTTTTCTGTTATAATTATTCGTTCTTTAAATGAACGTTTCTATATTTGCCAGTACAGGAATAAAAATATACTATGTAGAGTCAACTTTCTAAAAGACGGACACATCCCTAAATAAACACCTAAAGTTTCACTGGCGCGCACATGTCCAAGAGGGCCACTCATTGTCGATCTCTGCATTTTCCGTCTAAGAGAGAAGGGACTATTGATAATAACATTGTCATGAACAAAATGAAATCTGAAGGCAACGGATATATTGCTGTCAATAAATTCTTGTTGTGGCCAATCCCTTTTACTACAAATATTAATAATGGTCAGGCCCAGGGCTAAAAAGCCTGGGGTTTTTTTTGACGCACTTGTTGCCTTCAAATCAAATTTTGACACTTTTAATGACGATTTGCAGAAGAGTCCTTGAAACAATTCATATTCATTTTCAATTATCTCCAAAACCAGCACTTCACGCCCGCTCAAAATGAAGGCATAATTGACTAGCCCGAGAAACCTCCAATTTTCTGCCATATGAGAATTACAAAATTAATTTGTTAAACTCGAATAATGTTCTAGATTTTAAAAAAGTTATTACTTCTATCTTTACAAATAATATGTTAATGTTCGTCAGAAAACCCTCCATGTTTTTTTCTACCACCCTGTCCCATTTTTTGTAAGCAATCATTTGGAGTGAGGAGAGGCCCGGCATAAGTAGTTATCGTGAATGAAAAAGAAAACAATTTTGAGGCAAGTCTGTAAAGGTATATTGGAGTCTGTATATGGTTTTCATACTGTTCTGGGAATAATCAAAGCGCAGACTTTTACAAAATGTGTGGTTAACGTCAGCAAATTAATGTCTATACGCTTTGCTGGACAATGATTGAATTTGCATAATATTCAATGATATTATCAAGGCCTTTTAAAATTCGAAAATCACTTTAACACGTACCCGCAGAACTAAAAAAAAGCTAATTGTGGTGTTTCATCTTGTGAGAACCTTTCCTACCCTTAGTTATTTTAGTTTTCTTGTGACTGTCTTTTCTGTTAGCCTTGTTCTTCAACACTCTTTTAAATAAGCCATTACCCATGCTTGTCTGCATGCTCGGATCCTGAACATCCATGCCATTACCTCCTCCAAATCCACCCATTCCTCCATATTCAGGAAAATCTTGCATCGGTCCATTACCTTGTGGCCCGCCAGGCATACCCTGCATAGATCCCATTCCTCCAAGTCCTTCCGGCATATCATTCATCGGCCCCGCTCCGCCTGGCCCTCCTAGCATATTATTCATCTGGCCCATTCCTCCTGGCATATCATTCATGGGACCAAAACCTCCTGGCATTTTAATGGGGCCAAACCCTTCTTGTCCTCCTGGCATATCGGGCATGGGGCCCATTCCTTGTGGTTGATCCTGCATTTGATTCATTCTTCCTCCACCTCCTCCCTTTCCTAGCATACCTTGCATTTGATTCATCCCTCCCATTCCCATTCCCATTCCTGCCATTCCATTCATTCCTGCCATACCACCCATCATCCCTGCCATTCCGCCGCCCATGTTTCCACCTCCCATATTCATCTTTGCTCCCATTCCATTAGCACCTTTCCAAGCGCTGGCAAATTGGTTTTGCATCTGTTTTTCAATAGCCGACATCGCTTGTTGCTGCATTTGTTTCATCGCTGAACTGTAAAACATCTGCGGGGTTACTGCATCAGTACTCACACCTACGAGATTACAATGATGTAAGATTACAACAAATTTTGCCAAACACTTTTATTTTAATGTCTGTGAGTGAACGCTATGTCAATCTGCAAGAGACCTCTAACGGACAAAATATAAGCTAATTACTTTTGCTTCTCCTTGTTTGTGACTTCTGATGCAGGCGTAAAATCACGATCAATGATACTTCTACATACCAAATAAGTATGCTGAAGAATCAGATATTCTTCTTTTTCCGAGTAAAAGGTTCAACGAAGAAATGATTTCTTGTCAAAGGTATTTTATTAAAAATGATTAAAATGTTGTATATTCCTTTGCTGAAGGAAGCAATTACTGATTAACAAATCTCCCTGAAGGAATACGAAATACTGAATTGTGTTGACAATAATATTTTTCTTTCTGAAAAACAGTTCTGAGTTGTGTCATAAATGTAAATAGAGATATCTAATATCTAGCTGACTCAAATTATTGCTTCTAAAGGCAGTCCCAGTTTTCATCGAAGACACTTCTTCCATGACAATTTCACAAGCATGCAATTTCTCTGTGCCTATTATCTTTCTTGCTCCAGGAAGAAAAGAGTTTCATGCACGATCTACAGGGCTCATTCCTTCTTTTTGCGTTGTTTACCTTCAGTCTTTCCTCGCTTCTCTGTGAAGTGTTTTTTGGACTTCTTCGCGTGTCCTTTAGCTGCCTTGCTTCTCTTGTGGCTGGTGTGCCTCACCTTGCTTTTCTTTTTAGGTTTTTCAACTTTTTCTATTTTCGTCTTCCTTTCATAAGGTGCATCATACCCGTCATCCATTTCGTTTTCAGCCCCTTCGTCTAATGGCTCGTCAAACGCAGCATGTTCTCTTGCTGGAACAAAATACGGTTCGTCCTCCTCATCATCATCATCACTAACATCGTCATCGAGGTCATCACCGTCACTAAAATAACGATGTCTCCGGAAAGGACGGAAGTAAGGCATCGGCTCCCGCTCCTCGTACCCCACGGGAACTTTATCTCTTCCAACTGCCGATTCGTCTACCATTGGGTACATTGGTCCCATGGGTGCTCTGAATCCTCCACCAAGACCTCTTGGGTAGAAAGGGTTTCCTTCACCGAAAGACTCCCTACTGCCCCTCAGCGAGTCTCTCTGATAAGCATTGCCAGCAAAATCTCCCATTCCAGCCATTTCTGCCATACGATTGCCGTACATTCCTGCCATTCCCATGTCTCCCATTCCTCCAAATCCTGCCATTCCTCCCATACCCCCCATGTCGTTCATTCCTCCCATATCCATTCCTCCACCCATTCCTCCCATGCTATCCATTCCACCATCCATTCCACCACCCATTCCACCACCCATTCCACCACCCATTCCACCGTTCATACTTTGCATTCCTCCCATTCCTCCCATCATTGCCATTCCACCCATGCCACCCGACATGCCAGGCATTCCTTTAGCGGCTTGCATGGCGGCCTTGAACTGGTTTTGCATCTGCTCCTGTATTACTTGCATAGCTTGGGCTTGCATTTGCTTCACCATAGGATTGTCTGGTTCTTCGGAGTTGTCTTTGTCTAAACGAGCAATGTAGAAAGGAAATTTTATCATCAAATTGTCTTTTTCATTTATTGAATGTTCAGTTCCCTTTTTAAAAGCTATCAAAAGAGTTCGGTTACCTTCATCCTGACTTGGGGCTTCACTGGGTTCTAGAAAAAAAACCAAGCTAGGATCAACAAGAGCATAGCAAGCATTTTTAAAAAGCACTAAATCGGTAAATCGTACTAACCCACCAAAGAATATTGATAAATCCTACTTATGTTGCTCGAAAGAGCAGAAAAGCCGAAATCACATTTATATTTTGTGATTTTGCGATATTTTCTTGTAGAAAGGCATACATAGATCACATGACTGAGACGATCCAGTTTTTAAAGTAGGGAATATCATTAAATGGTACTGCGATTGGAAGGCACGAATCCACTTCAAACACAGATTGCGTGGCATCGCAACGGCAGCTAAAATCCCGACAGTAGGGATAAAAGGGCAAACTTAAAACACATTAAAGAATTCTGCAGTACAGAGTGAATGTGAAGTCAAAGTTAGACAAATATTCATGGTTACCTTCTGGAGTAGGACCATGTCCTTCATCGTTTCTTCCGCCGGTCTTACTATCATCAGACATCCCAACAGGTACCACAGGTGGAGCTTCTCCGTCCGATCCACCACCAGGAGTAATCTTCAGGTCTGGTGGAAGCTTAGGGTGGTCGGGTCCTGCAGCGATGGCAGCGTAAGGATCTGATTTATTTTTCTGTAGCTCATTGGGTTCTGTCCCAGAGCCACTTCCGCCATCAGCATCATCAGCTCGTTGTGGATTACTGTTGTTTAGCAACGACGACATGTTAGGAAGAACTGCACCTACCAATTTGTCAAGAGCTTTGAGCGTCGATGTAGTGTTCATGTCTTGAAACTGAGTGATGTTATTGATTCCGTCTCTGACTTTACTCAGTGGAATGCCTGTTGATACTGCATTGCCAGATTTGCCATTTTGGTTTGCTGGTTCTGCGAAGTTAGTAAATTCCTTGCGATCAGGCATTACGCTTCCGGGTTTGGCACTTTTTAGCTTATGAAACAGTTTTATTAAGTTTTTGTGAATGCTTGTCTGAAGCCTTTTAATTTTGTTTTTTTCTCTGGTCACTTGAGGTCTATTTTCTTCGTCATCTTCACATCCTTCTTTAAGAGACGACCTTTTCAAGGACCTCACGACCTCATCATCAGGATCATGCGAGTTTTTATTAGGTTTAGAGGTCGAGCTGCGAACTGAGTTAATACAACCTGTTGGAAAATTGAAAAAGGTAAAAGGAATATAAAAGGGGGGTCGAGGTAAAACATATTATTGCATTTTAAAACAACACACACTATAGTTTTCATTGTTTTGTTAAATACCTGTCAAAGATTTGCTGTGTGAAACCTCTGGAGAACAAAAAGAAATAAATAAAAAACGTATGTAACAATTGCATGAATACACAGATTAATAATTGTTTTCCAGAAAGTTCGCGTCCCAAAATCTTCCTATAAAGGAAGAGGTTTGGAAACAATTCTTGTAAATAACTATTTGGTTGCCTCCTGCTATTTGTTATTTTGTGTTTGAATTATTTGTTTCTAAGTATTTGAGTGGAATGCCTTTAAGCTAGCTGGATAAGCTAAATACTTTTTCCACTATAAACAAGCCTTTAAACCTTCTTTAAACCTTTAATCCTAGCTACTAGATCGTGACCGATAAGTGTTAAAAAAGAAAAATTAGGGGGCAATCTCAAACGGAATTTATACTGTGATCATCTCAGATAAGGGCATTTCCTTTCCACTATTGCAGCGAGACGCGGGAAATTTTTTTTACTTATATAGTGTGACTAAACGTATCATGCTTACAAATATCATCACGTTTCCGCTATCATGAGTCTGGTTTCTTCTCAGGTTGATGATTAATTTTTCTTTTACATTACAATACTTGGAATGTAACTGCAAATAGAGCGATTTTCGTATGATCTTGAAAAATGGTTTCGGTAAGTGTTCGTTATTTGTTTTATCGGCCAATGGATGAAAAGATCAAAACCTGGACTCTTCGTATCCCGCTAAATAAAACCCTAATATGGAGGAGGCATTGTTCGATTGGCCAATAGTGTTGCAGTATTGCGTCAAAGGAAGTATTGAATGATTTCTAGAAAGTTCTCGGGCATGAAGTTTTTCACCCGAGCGTTCGATTAACCAACCAAAAGCCACGCGCGTTTGTATCCGTTTGATAAACCAATCAAATCACTCAATTTTCGTTCGTTTGTTGTTTCTGTTTAGTTCGTGGGTGTTCATTTCAAGGTCACACGAAAATCGCTCTTTGATGGAATCACTGTTTTTAATACGGAAGTCTAGCCCATTCCATGGTAGGATGTACGTCACATATATGTCACGTTGTTCACATAGAACGCGGTATCAGATTCAGCTTTGACGAAAATGTTCATTCGACGACGAGGTTAAGAAATATCTAGATTGCAAGTTCTTTTTTTCTCTTTCTCTCTCTCTTTGGTCGCAACCGAGTAATTTGTTCAGAAACGTATCACTGATATAATTCCGGCGAATTTATTTTGTCAGATCACTCATTCTTTTGTATTTTCTACATGGAACAAAAAAGAAGGGCTTGTGCAGCCTTGAACGCAACATTAACTTTGTTGTCAAAATAACTGGTACCAGTTGCTTACCTGTTAATGAATTGACTGCTAAAAGTAGAAAAAGCAGAACGGGACGTTTCCGCATCATTTTCAATTCCTCGATGCTAAAAGAAATAGAAGTTAAAACAAAAACATTTTAACATGAGTAACTAGATTGTGTTTTTAACGTTGTCTAATAAATCGAGGGGGTTTAGTGTTAATTAGACTACGCTTGACATGGCCAAAACATCCGAACAACGCAGATATCCAGTGCAATCTTAGCTCTCTCCCAGTCTTTACTTTATCTACTACCAGAAAAAAACTAATTGCTAAGAACATAACGAATAGGTAGTAACTAGCAAAACCAAAACATGTGCCTTAATAGTTTGTTTTGATAAGTGATACCTGGTGACTCTCCTTGTGGACCCAGTTTGTTGATGTATTTTACAAGACGAAAACAAAATTTTACAAGGTACAAATACTCAATAGGTAAGATTACTAATCATTCGTCCACCCTCGCACCATATACTAGAGGCCGATACTTTTCTCTACAAACAAAACTTCCTTTGGTTATTGACAGGTTTTGGAAATGTAATCACCAAAGACGATCAAAATATAAATTAACTGCTACGAGCTGCAAAAACAATTATCTTAGCGATAATTAAGAATAGTCACTACAAGCTATAAAGAAAGTGAGAAAATTTCAAACTCATCAATCAGAATTATGTGGCGTCGGATAACTTACCGCCAGTTGAGGAACTGTTGAAGATATTGGTCAAATACATTTGTCTCAAAGCACTAGAGATCAAAGCTTCGCTACTGATGTAAGAATACGATATTTAGCTAACCCAGATCATAAAATTATTTACCAATTAATTATTTACAACATGAGTTTAAAACATAGCTCTCTTGTGTTGCCAAGGACGTTAAGAAACAGAGCGTTTGCAGGCATTGAACGATCAAACGGTAGTTGTATACATGTTTTGGCTTTGCGTGATCATTAGGACAATGCCAGAGCTACGAAAATGTATAAATACGTGGCTAAAACAAAGCTTAAAACGCCAAGCTAGGAGGTCAAAGGTGATGATCGCCTACTAAGTGAACGTATCGATGCCTTTAATTTGTCGAGAGGTGGTGTTTTAAGGTTATATTGAGCCTGTCAAGGACCTCAAACTGGGTCTTCAAGCGCTACCTGCAAATCAGGATTGTTGTCACTTCACGGCGCAACGAGCGAATTGGAACAATTCAGGGCGTGTTATAAAGGTCTATCGAGGACGGGCGTGTCCCTTAACTGGATTTCTCTGGCACTACCTCCGTTATAGTCAGTAGGTGCAACGGCCGGTGAACCATGGCCAAACAACTGAAAAGCCTTTCAAGTATCCTCGTGGTGATAGTGACAATACGTAAATAAGTCTGATTTTAAATCCAAGTCAACAATTTTGTAACGTATTACAAGCAGTTCTCGGTCTGAGCTACTAGACGCTTACTCTTTGATATTATCCAGGTCGAAAGTCCTGAGGAGCACTTCTTATCACTAAAAGTGGCGGCTGTTATTTTTTTCCGTATTGTTTGTTGGAAATTTAAATATTTTACAAGACGTATATGAGCAAGATAATCCATTTCCAGCCGTTTAAGGGAGCCCGAGCCGCAAGAAATGGCCAGTATTCGAGTCGAGGAAAGAACCAAAAAGGAACGACGATATTTGCCTTGCAGTATTAAGCAAATCAAGGCAATCAATTGCCATGGCTACGCTTAGGCCTTTCCCCAATAATGGTCTGCTAACAGAGTCAGCTAGCTGTTCATATGTCAGTCTATGGTTCTTGCATAAACTTTCCTTGTCTAAACTAAAAGGCTAAGTACTGTCCACATTGTCGCCCTTTTAGACGATGAATCTGTTATCTCCAATTACCGGCTAATCTCTGGGTCACCCCTGAAAAAGGGGGGCTAATAACCGGGGAACCGATGTTCTCTTTAAGATAATAATAGGAAGCTTAAGCAAAGTCGTTTTTGCGCGACGTATGTCAACCGGAATTGAGCGCTTTTCCCTTCTAATATGCCTCGACGCTGTCTTTGCTCTTATAGAGACAATCTGACCGAAAATAATGAGAACACCATCGCCCAAGAATACAAAAAGTCCACTTCCGTCTTTGCTTGAGCTCCCCCCACAATTGCTGGCTGCAAAAAGAATCTATTTTCTAGCATCTTTCTATGATTTCCGTCTCCTTACTTTTGTAAACGATATATTGGGGGCAGAAATGAATCCTCGCATCGGAAGATTAAAACACAGCTAGTCTGTTTTAGCAAAAGGAAAGCATCGTTGACGATTCCGAAGAAATTCTGTTCTTTTTTCGTTGACTCCTACGAGGTTTGAGAGCTTTGTAAAGGGATAGTGTTTGCGTAATGTTGATATGGTCAAAAAAGCAAAAACGAATACGTTTATAGGCACATTACATAACGTAAAACAGACTAGCTGTGTTTTAATCTTCTGATGCGAGGATTAAATTGGTAAGAGCCCGCCCCTCCTTGTATTACAAGCCGATTGGATTATTGTAACAGTCTACTGTACGGACTTCCAAACACTGCGATCTCCAAGTTGCAAAGAGTCCAGAACGCTGCAGCTAGACTCGTTACCTTTTCATATAAGTTCAGCCATGTTACCGCTGCAATCTATAATTTCCGTAAGGTATCAATCTGTCTATTAGCTGCGAACAAATTATGGATTACCACTATATTTCCCAAGTGAATGAAATCAAAAACAGTTCAACAGTTTAGATCCTTACTCAAAACATATCTTTTTAAACAAGCATTCCATTCTTAGTAATATTAATTTTATTTTATTTGAAAATTTCATTAGATTTTTAGAATTCTTGATGTGATGCGCCTTTGATCATTACATGTTAAAAGGCGCAGAATAAGTAAATAACTATTAGCTTACAAATAGATACAGCAACCACGAAACATAGAATGCGATACTGCGAAAGTGCTCGGTTACAAATGAACTCTTAAAATGATAATGTTACGAGAACTTTCTCTGGCTACTGCGAAGGAAACTGACGTTTTATCTTACTAAGCTTTTTTTCGGCATTATTTCAGAGTGAGTTACAAAACGTGTATTCGCAGATTTGTTGCTGTTATATCCTTTTCCAGTGGATTCTTCTTTTTTACTATTTTAGGGATAATTGTTCGTTTTGCAGAAATATTTTTTCGTAGGGATCTTGAACCTTTTCGATATGTCTTGATCAAGTGGTGTGCTATACTCGGCTTCGAGATTATGGCCTTCTTGTGAGTTTTTGACACCAATTTGTTATTTCTTATATAATCCCCGCTACTCTCAAATGAAGAATACAGCTTAGAGATGGTTGGTTTTGTGTCTTTGTGAGCGCTTCCTCGACCATTACCGCTAAATTCCATGCTTCCTGACCCCTTAGATTTCATGGAGGTTATTTTGTTACGGAGACTAAAAGAAGTGTCATCTTCAGCTTTGGACTCAAAATCACCCTGGCGATGATCGTGGTAAAACTTTCTTTCTGCTTCCTCGTCACTATCTTTGAAATCACCATAGTCTTCCGTGTTGTAGGAATCATCGTCTTGTTCCGGTATTCCACGGATGGCTCCATCTTCGTTATATCCTCCAAGCCCTTTGTTTCTAGTCGAGTGACCCATTAAGGCATCGTACATCGCATCCTGTTGGGCTGCAACTTTTTCTTCAAGATGTGCCGCCTCTTCAAACTTTTTCTGAGCCTCTGATGTTTCTTTTTTACCTTCTCCCCCAAGGCCCGTTAAGCCGTTTGCAGTATTTACCGGTGGCTGGCTTAATGGGGATTGGATAGGACTAGCCACCGTCGGCTGGCTAGCTAAAGTAGAATCTTGTTTCTCAGCCGGTGATTCGCTTACATCCTTTTTATTCAGCATTTCATGAACTCTTTTAAAGAAATCGTTCTCCGCTTTATAAAGCTCTTGTCTGGCCTGAAATGCTTTGACCAATTTTTGGGCGGTACCAAATGCTTTTCTTGCTGCCAGACGGTCTTTAGACAAGATAGGCTGGAAAAACCTTTGTTGAGGTTGCTGCCGATGATGATTTTGCTCCTGTACTGCATTAGCAAATGACAGAAGTTGATCTCCTTTTCCATTTTGTGGCTCGTTGATCTGCTGGCCTTTTGTTGATTCCTCGAGAGAAATATTCCCTATACCATGTGTCGGAATAACCGGTTTGTTTCCCTGTGTTTGCTTGTTTAGACTCAAATTGGTGCTATTTTTAGCTGGCATGTTCTTTGCATCACTAGTCAAATTCTTTACATAGCTGAGGTGTGCAGCTTTTAGAATGTTAGTGATAAATGAAGTGTATTTGTCTAAGAGAGCCGAAGTGCCGCCAGTCGGTTTTTTGCTTTTGCTACTGAAGCTTGGTTTGGACTCCAAGGAGGAGTTGTCTGATGGTTTATGTAGTTTCTGCATTACATTAGCTTGCTCATTGCCCCTTAGTTTCTGAAACGGTATATCGCTGATAACGATACCGGCTTGGTCTTTAGTGTAGTTTGCCTGTTTAAGCTCTTGTAGTAGAAGACGCTTAAGAATTTTTAACTGGTGTGAATCTTGTTTTGATCTCTGACTCGGCACTTTGAGCTGGGTGGTGTCAGGAATTTTGTCACTGGCACTCTTTCCTTGATTGACAATGTTCGTATTATTTCGTTGCATTTTTTCCGCTTCCCTTACGGCCATTTCAAGCAAAGCAACGGCATTGGTTAGTTTAGTGTTATTGAGATGACCTATATCTGTTCCTGTGGGATCTTGCCCAACGCTCTCCCAAACAATTTGCTTGGCCTTCGCAAATGCTGCCCTTGTTGCGTCTGGGTCAAATGGCTTTCCATGCACAACGATACTTCTCAATTCAGGAATTAATGGAAACGTATCATTTTGCACCAGATCTTTGGTTACTTTTGCCTTGGAACCATTGGTTACCTCAGAAGAAATTTTACGCTCACCATTCGTATTTGTTTGTGACATATTTTGTAATTGTTCATTGACTCTTTCAAGAAATTGAAAAGTATCTTTGAGTGCGTTTTCTGCGTTGTCTTGCTGCACACTCTTGTTATTATGTGATCCCTTGATAGCTTTATCAAGCCTTACAGCTAGCTTGAGAAAGGATGCGAGGTTTTCCCGATGTCTTTTTCCATGTCTATGGTGGTGATGACGCCGTGGAGGTACTTCCGGTTTCATTACAACTTTGATGACGTTTGGAACGCTTCCTACTGCAGAGACGGGATTCGATGCCTTCTCGCCGCTTTCCATTTCACGCATAGCATCTGCTAGAAAGTTCCTTTTGCCGTGGTACACTTTCGTTTTTTTCCTTCCTAGTTCACAATAAATAAGAGACACCTGGTTATACGTTGAATGTCTCATGCGATAAAGCAATTATCAGCTGCCCCTGAAGTGTAGTAATTTGGATAGGTTCAAGACTTCAAAAACAAGTGATAGAAATTTACTGCAATGTCGAATTTTACAATCCATATCATCGTACAAATAGTTCTATAAACAACCTTACTTTCAAGGTCAACCAATAGGTGTTATTTGTAAATTCTGTTAAAAATAATTTTCTGCCTCTTACCTGAACGGGAAGCAGAAATTTCTGATAGAAAAAGTATGAGGACAAGCCCCAGAATTCTCATGTCTGTGTTGTCTCCCTTAGAAGGTCATCACATTGGGACATAGATAAAACCTTGCTCCTTTTGTATGGCAGTCTGGAAATAGAAACGTTTTGAAGCTAAGATTTATATTTTCGATTTTAGCGAACTAGAACTGAGATTAAAGGCAATCAAGCATAAAATCGGCAGGTGCTTTAACACTCGACCCGTTTGGTTATACCTGCTATTTTCGTCTTTTCCAAGTATCATTTGAGAAAAAAAGACGACAAAAGCAAGCAATGAAAGATCATTTAGTTGTTTAGTTCTTCAGTGTCCTATGGGTCAAACCCAAAGAACATATTTTGATGTATGTTGTTTTACCAAATATTGGCCGGACACAGTTCGCTGTCATCTCCGTGGTTTCGTTTTAAGTTTATCCTTTAAAAATTAAATGAAAGGTCTCTCCTTTACAGATTACTCTAGGACTAATAAATACTCTTATGCCAAGAAAATATAAAAGGAATTTTGAAGTTTTTGCCAGTCTGTTAACTAGACAAAACATCATTTGTTATATGAAAGAAATGGCTGGCTTTAATGTACCTGGTGTGTTGACCACCGTGTAATCAATAATGATAAACCATAAATGCAAATATGGAAAACATCCTTAGAATTAATGGTTATTTTAGAGTGCAAAATGTTTAATTCAGAGTCGCTCACCTTTTATAATATTTCCCGATAACGTGTAATAAGGGCTATATTTACCAAAATGTTCGCAATGTTGGCTAGAAAGTCCAACCTTTAATGATGTAATGCCAAAGCTTCACTCGGATGGCAAAGGTCACATACGCCTTCCTGCCTATAACGTTTTAAGCATCCATGAACATAGGGTTGCTCTGTCGATTGAAATGTTCTTAAAACATAGACAGTCTTAACGTCTTATTGATGCTGACAGTTTCGATGACTGTCAGCCATCTTTATCAAAACTTGAAAAACATTAAAAGTGTCAGAAGCCTTAAATAGACTTCTGAAGGAGTTAATTATTGCGAGAAACGCGCAAAGTCACTCTGTAGACGCCCCCTCCCCCCTGGTTTGGGGGTGGAGATCACTTGTGTCCATATGGGAGAAAGCTGATAGGCTCCCTCGTCCCTGTTCATGGTAGGAGGGTTCGATCTAATACATATGCTTTCCTTGATCCATCGCTTAAACTTGTTACTTTCCTGCTCAACTATTTCACTTGCTTCCCAATTCATAATATGATTGTTCTGACAGACGTGGTCTGTTATGGCTGATTTATGGTGTTCATTGGTAAAAGCTCTGCGGGTGGATCTTGTGAAATTTCTGTCAGAGATCTTTTCTGCTGCCTTTCTGTGTTCTGTGATCCTGGTTCCCAGCTGTCTCCCTGTTTCACCGATATATACCTTTTCGCATTGGCTGCATGGAACTGTGTCCGGTTTCTCTAAACCTAAGCTACGAAACGATATGTGGATGACATCCTAGAAATCATTAAGAGGGGAAAGGTGGAGGCTCTGACAGATCATGTCAACGGAATAGACAAAAAATACAGCATCACATTCACGCACGAACCAGAGAGAAATGGCCAGATCCCATTTCTGGACACTCTTATCACCAGGAGGGAGGACGGATCCATCAAACTACTGGTTTACAGGAAAGCCACACAAACAGACCAGTACCTGTCGTTTCAATCGCATCATCTACTTCAGCACAAACTTGCTGTCATACGGACGTTATTGGAAAGGAGTGACAGCTTTGTCACGGAAGAAGAAGACCGTAAACAAGAGGAAGAACACATAAGAACAGCCCTCCATACATGTGGTTACCCGAATTGGGCGATAAAGAAGGTCAAAGAGCAAATCAACAGAAAGAAAGCTATTAGAAAAGATAGATCCAGTCTACGCACAGAGGAGAAAAGTCTAACCTCGCGTGTAAACAACGAATGCTAAGATGAAGAACTACACCGAAGCTATTTTCAACGAAATCCAACATTTAAAGATGATTACTGTGCTTTAGATGTAAAAAGTTTCAACTTTTCTTTGCTAAGATTTTTCAGCCGAATGCCCCCATATATGAGTGGATAAGTTATTCCGAATACAAGACAAATGTTTTAAAACCAGTAGAAACCTTTAAGCTCCAAAATCAATTTCAAAAACATCATTTTCAAACTTTTTTTTCATTAAAAGTGAATGACAGGAACGATTTCAAGAGATTAAAGTTCAGACATTCTGAATTCAAGAGTTAACTTGCAGTTCCGATTTATTCTTAACTTAAGAGTTTGAAGTTTCCATATTCTTAAATCGAGAGTTTAAAGTTGCGACATTCTGAATTCAAGAGTTTGGAGTTATGACATTCTGAAGTTAAATGTTTGGAGTTCTGAATTTAATTCTTTGAAGTCATGGCATTCGGATTGGAAATCGAATGTTTGGAGTTATGACATTCTGAAGTTAAATGTTTGGAGTTCTGAATTTAATTCTTTGAAGTCATGGCATTTGGATTGGAAATCGAATGTTTGGATCTCCAACATTCTGAATTCAAATGTTTGGACTTATTGAAACGGAACTGTTAGCAAATTGTTGTTGCTCGAAATATCGTGGTTGTTAACATGATCAGTAGGCCGGATGATGACGGATGATTCCGAATTCAACAGTTTGGAGTTCCGACATTCTGAATTCACTAGTTTGGATTCTATTGTTAAGGAGGCAATTCAATAGCCTTTTCCCGAGCATGGCCGAGGATTTAAACTCGAGACAACTGAGAAACAAATGCAGCTAATGGTCAGAGCGAGACTCGAACCCGGGGCTCCGGGTCGCGATTCTTAGGCGCTTACTCCCAGGCCATTCTTCCTTCACACCCTGGATCTCTCATTGTAGATTGGATTAAGAGATTATGGAAATACATGACTGTTTCTAATAAAGTTTATTTTTGATGTTATGAAAACTGAAAGAAGTACTTTGATCAGAGCACATGAACTTGAAGTGCAAAAAAAAGGCATTAGTGAAAATTTTATTACTATATTAAATAAAGTGTTCTCTTTATTGTTGGGTATTTTCAGTGAAAGTAAAAGACATTGGAGTGGCGAATTAATGATGATGGAGGGTTTAAAAACCTTATTCCCGGTTATCCCAATTGTCCCAGTTGTCCCGGTTGTCTCGGTTGTCCTATTTGTCCCGGATGTTCCGGTTGCTCCGGTTGTCCTGGTTGTCCGGGTTGTCCCAGTTGTCCCGGTTGTCCCATTTGTCGCGATTGTCCCGGTTGTCTCAGTTGTGCCGGTTGTCCCCAGGTTTCCCGGTTGTCTCGGTTGTCCTAGTTGTTCCAGTTGACCGGGATGTCCCAGTTGTTCTGGTTGTCCGGGTTGTCCCGGTTGTCCCCGTTGACTGGCTTTTCCCAGTTGTCCCTGGTTGTCCCGTTTGTCCCAGGGCTTTTCAGGGCTGTCAGGGTTATCCCAGTTGTCCCGGTTGCCCCGGTTGTCCAGGTTGTCATAGTTGTCCCGGTTGTTCCAGTTGTCCCGGTTGTCCTGGTTGTGCCAGCTGTTCCAGTTTTCCGGGTTGTCTCGGTCGTCTCGGTTGTCTCGGTTGTCCCAGTTATATGGATGTCCAGGTTGTCTCGGTTAACCTCGTCTTCCTAGATGTCCCAGTTATCCTAGTCGTCACGGTTGTCCTGGTTGTCTCTGTTTTTTCCGGTTCTCCCGTTTGTCTTTGTTGTCCTAGTTGTCCTGGTTGTTTTGGTGGTCGTGGTTATCCCACTCATCTCACTCATTCGGGTCATACTGGCCATCCAGGTCATCACAGGTGGTTTCGGTGGTTTCTTTTATCCCGAGAATCCAGGATTAAAGGGGATGCTATACGCTGTATCGGTTATGTGCGGCGGAAATTGGTATGGTTTTAAAATCTTCTGGTGCTGAATTTGGTATGGTGGCTGGCTGTTTGAGTCTCACACAGATTGATGTTTAGTGTAGTTCTGGAAGCTGAGTCAAGAATTGGTTATGTTTTATCAATTGTGTTTTGAGAAACGCAATTGAAATGTGAAATAGGGAATCATGGTGAAAAAGAAGCACGCCGTAACCCCCCTCCCTCCTCCCCCTCTCCCATAGCCTTTCTGTTCCGGAGAATCAGTTTTAAAAAATTGCAGCTTCCTCTGTGCCCTAAGTTGTCCATGTCGTATAAAGATACGCTGTACGTCTATCCTTCAGTGATAATGACAAACGCTAGATAAGTTCCAGGTTAATTCAATTTTATTTGCACTTCTGGGTCTCATACGTTTCAAATTCTTTGGAGAATTCAAGTCACTATTAGATATGCAAAAAATTATCTTCTAATTCAGTCTGTTCCTCAAAAGGAAGGAATTTGTTTCAACAGCTTGTTTTCTGTGCTAATATCTTAATTAACACGGTCAATGGTATTTGTATCATATTTTGTCCACATGCTAATAGCTATTGGAAGCAAATCTTCCAAGGCTACCACCCCTGAGTATACGTTAACGTACGTGAACGCATATGTAAGTCAGACTCTGTCCACAAAAAAACGACGTAACCAACCAATTGAAGCTGGTCTTCAGACAATGTTTCCTCAGGCAACATGATGGAGGCAAAGTACAGCAGCGGATCAAGGGGGAGGGTCCATGGGGTCTAGACTTCCGCTATTGACCTGACCCTTGTTTGAGACTGAAATTCTTACATCGGCAGGATGGTATATCACTTCTTAACAGGTTGATTTTTTTATGAAACGCGCGTTGCATGAGGATATTAAAAAATGCAATCGTTTTTGGGTACCCTCCTATATTCTGTTCGCCTCTGCTCGTAAAGCAGTATTTCGCGCGCCAACGACGACCGGCGCTCACAGATTGAGAAACACGTAGTCGTCTTTGCTTTCTCAGCTGGTCACAAAAAAAGTTAAACAGTCCTTTGTGGACCAAAGTTTGGACCCTCAATCAAAAATTCCTGGATCCACCCCTGAAGTGACTGTACTCATTTTTAAAACACTGACGTTGCAGCGCAGGTTCAACGCTGTAGTCGCGTCGTAACTGAGTGTGGTTACTTGTTAATACTCTAGCACTCACAATATTCGTTTAGCTCCCGTGTTCAAATGAAATCTTGCAAGAGATTTTTAAACGGTGTCCCGATTCTTGTGGACGAAATCTTTGTTAGCGTTCACGAACGAAAACGCATACGTGTGGAACATTAAAAATGAACCAAATAAATAAATGCTTTTGTATGATGACAATGTTTTTGACGATGTTCTACTTGCTTATCATTATGTCGAATTCTGGCAACACTAAATTGAGACGAAACGATGATGATCTTTAAAACTTCCCACCACGATAACAAAACTATTTAAACAGTATTCGCAACCTTTTTCAAATTATCATAGAAAGCCTCAAAAAGCAAAGAAGAGCTTTAAGAGTAGTAATATTATAGAGAACTGTGAAGCAAAGAAAGCTCAAAAATCTTCGAAATACTTTTCTTTCATGCGTGTCGTCTTTCTTACAACATACGAATCAAAATTACGTCTAATAAAAACAACGGTTACGAAATTGCTTCATAAGTTTGTATATTCATGAAAGTGGATTGTTTCTGTTTTCTTTGACTTATCTCTTCACCATTCAGCATCACTTAACCTGCAAGGGCAACTGCACAGAACCTTTCCCAGGTACTCCCATTCACCTTTCAGGGGAGGGGATGGGCCCTCGATAATCGGTCTACAAGTGTCTCTATCCCCCCTGACTGTCTTATGGACCACTGCGGTTCTCTTTGCACCCTGCTCTTGTTTATGCTTTGTAGGAGGCCTCCAAGGGCCTGATCTTCCGAAGAGGGTAGGAAGACGAAGATGAAAAATATCGTGGTGCGTGGTCGGAGAGAAATGGGATTGGTAAAAACGTGAATGGGGCATAAACCAGTCTCCTTTTCTATGAGCTTGTTGGCTCCATGGGATCCAGTGTTTTTCTCTGCTGTCTTCATCATCGTCATCGTCATCACTATCATCATCATCATTATCATCATCCCCCTCTTCATGGGGAATGAAAATGTTGTGTTGATAATCCCAGTAGCCTTCTCCACTATGATCTTTATGAGCCATCACCACGAAGGGATTAGAATGACGATGGACGCCCCAAAAATGACGCCTGTGTGTAGGGAATGCATTATTAAGGAGTCCAAGGTAATTAGGGACTCCAGAAGTGAAAGGGAACCCATAATGATGCATTCTCCGGTGATGAGGGTGACGACGTCCCCATCTGCCACGCTCCTCGTCTTCTGGCAGTGAGGTAAATTCATCTGGTCCTATCAAAGGTGACCGCTGACGTGAACCCATTTGAGAAGACGCTTCGTCAGTGTCCAAGAGAGTACTGCTCGGTGATGTCATACCTGTCAGCATTTTTTGAATGTCTTTACTTTCCGAATACATTTCCTTATTTATCGTTGCCTTTACTTGATCGTTGAGGACATTCATCACCTGGTCCAGCTGTAAAGAGGGTCCACCAGACGTTTGGCCACCACCGAAGTATCCTACATTTTGTCCACTTAAGGACATGGGAATATTTGGAAAACTTTGTTTCTTTTGGCACGTCAAAATTGTCACCGTTGTCTTTCTTTCTTTAGGGTCAGCATGACAGTCTAGTTGTTGTTTGTTGCCGCCAGCGGTTTGCATAGAATCTCCCCCTGATTTGCCTGTGCCAAGCGGAATTACTTTACCACCAACCGATAAAGACGAGCCAAATTTCTGTGATGGGTCTAAAATAATATTTAAGGTAGGAACATCTTGAGATTGACCCGCCACAGCCTTCTCAATACCCTCCAAATAATTTTCTCCAGCTATGAGAGGATTTTCCTTTTCTTCTCGCTGCTCCTCCTGTATGTTAGGTCGAGAAACTTCTTCGATTTGAAGACCATCGACTCCACCTTCAAGATCCTGGCCAATCTTGACAAAATGATGTCCTGCCTGCTTTAGATAATCTGTGCTTGGAATGTCAACAGGTTTAGTTTGCCCAGCGTCTGAAGATGAGGCCTTGGAATCCTGGTTTTCTCTTTCCACTTGGGTTTGGTCATTGTTTAATTGTCCCTCTATGCCTTCCGAAATTTTCAACGCTGAAAGAGCATCTTCCTTAAGAAGTGAAACGGGTCCATTGGTACTGTTTGGTGAAGCTTTGTTTGCAGATGACGAAGACTGAGATGTCACGCCTTGAGTTCCATTAGCTAAGCTGTGTGATAACTGATCGGCCTGTGTAAATGAGCTTTGCCCATCCCCTGACGCTTTCGAAAGGCTTTCGTTAGAAGAAATGGCACTGTTTTCCGAGAAAGAACCGGAGGTATCTGTTTGTGGTATAAGCAAAGCATCCGCAGAAGGCATAGTGGCTTCATTTGCAGTTGGACCAGAAATAATAACGGTAACATGGCCATTTGCATTTGTAACCTTTCTTTTTGCATCATTTACTACGATATGGTAAGTCTCCGGTTCGTTTGAGTTGCTTTTTAGCTTGTTTATGATAGCGGATGGTTGTGCTCCACTTGAGGGGTGCTGTTGATCTTGATATTCAGATTGCAGTTGTTCATCTTGGCTAATTTTGTTCCCTTCCTTAGTCGGACTTTGATCAGCACCAGTTTCTTTGGACACAGTAAAGTTATTTTCATCTCCATGTCCTGCACCATTCAGAGCTTTAGTTAGATTTACTTTTTTGCCCCCTTCGGCTAACAATGATGTGGTGGTATTCGTTCCAAAAACTAAACTCTGATTATTTGAACCCGTTTCCGTTAATGATTCTTGTTCAGCCTGAAAATGTTCACTGCTTTTGTTGGAAGCATCGGCCTCGTTTGGAAGTTTCACCTCACTGGTTACATTGTCATCTGATTTTGTTTGATTTAATTTGACGATATTTACAAGACCTTGATACACTGGCTTTCCTGCCTCATCTTGGATGAGAACGCTTGTTGAAGCTGGTTCTTGACCAGTGTCATTCATTTCTTTATTACCTGGGATGCTATTCTGGAAAGACAAATAATCTTCTCCCTGATTGGATTCCATAGAAGTCAAGGCGTTTTGTAGCGCTTTATATCCTTTGGTTGTACCATCTTTATCCTTTTCACTCCCCGAATTAAGAAGACTAGAAACGTAACTATTAACGTTGTACTGGGGATCTTCTGAGGTCGCATCGTGGCGCGGAAAGCCGTTAGCATCAGCTGCACCCTGGCCACCGACCCATAGTAAATGGTTGCCAAAATTTATGACTTGACGTTCAGTCGCTGTACGGTGATTATTCTTGTGTTTTCTGTGATGGTCGCGCGATGAGTGGGCAACTTTGCTTCGCTTGTACTTGACCCCTTTATGTTCAGTATTAACGGCCTCTTGTGTGCTCTTCTTCGCGAAAGCGTGCGAGTCACTACTGGAAATAGCTTCGTTAGCAGAAAAGATGATAGACGAAACCGAAGATTGATTTAGAGCCCGTGCGAGAGTCTCATCTTGCTGCACTTGTTGGGCTTGTTGCTCCGGC